ATTTTTCTCAGATTTTCCGCAGAATTCCGCAAATTTCTGCAGATTTTTAGCCTATCATTAATTCTGTTTATTTACTTGAGTAAATGTGTAAATCTGAATTTATTCAGTTTTTATTCAGTAATTTATTACTTTTTATTTAATATATTAAGGTGTAAGTTATGATACTCCGCTGGAAACTCCCAAAATAATTCCACAGAAATCCGCAGTTTTTTACCAAAATTCTCAGCAGAAATAGTAAAAAACCTCCGCAGATTCCGTCTGGCCCTGCTCTTTACTCATGTTGTCTCTGTCAATCAAGCATCGATGGGCATAAAGCGTGAATAGCTTATTCCAACTAGGTGCACTATTTGCAGTTAGCCTAAAAAAACACCCCGAAATTGTCTTTTTCTTCTCCCCCCTCGCAGGGGCCCCAAGTGCGCTCGGGCCACTGGGCCTGTGCCTATAAGGCCCATTGGTTAATCCGGCCCTGAGCGGGGCTTAAGTTCCATTTCCTGGTCACGCCGGCACGGCTAAAGACTCGTTATCAAGACGATTCATTTGAAGCACTGCGAGTCGACTCTTTTATAAATGAATCAACAGTTTTAAACACTGCACACTTGCAGATTTAAGTCTTAGCTGAATAATTCACTTCACTTAGAGCTGTGTTACACAATACATGGAAGGTCATTCTCAAAAACCCATAATAGAGGCTCTTAAAAAAAAAAGAAGAATAAACTGAACTGTCTAACTCGAGGGAATGTAACATGAGCATATTTGCAAGTAGTTGTGTGGTTTACCCAAAAAGGAAACTTCTGTCATCATTTCTGATGAGTTTTTTTTGACTCTGTTGAACATAAAAGAAGATATTTTTAATAATGCTGAAAACCTGAACATTGACTTCCATAGCAGGTTTTTAGCATTATTGAAAATGTCTTCTTTTGTGTTTAACAGAAGAAAGAAACTCATAACGATTTCAAATATGCAGAAGGTGAGTAAATGATGGAATCATTTTTATTTTTACTATTAATTTCACTGTTAATTGAAGTTATTGAGTTTAATTTAAAAGCCTCACAAAAAAACTTTATTCATTCATTCGTTTATTTTCGGCTCAGTCCCTTTATTAATCTGGGGTCACCACAGCGGAATGAACCGCCAACTTATCCAGCATATGTTTTTACGCAGCGGATGCCCTCCCAGTTGCAACCCATCTCTGGGAAACATACATACATACTCATTCACACTCATACATGCAGACAATTTAGCCTACTCAATTCACCTGTACCGCATGTCTTTGGACTCTGGGGGAAACCATAGCACTCGGAGAAAACCCACCCGAACGCAGGGAGAACATGCAAACTCCACACAGAAATGCCAACTGACCCAGCCGAGGCTCGAACCAGTGACCTTCTTGCTGTGTGGTGACAGCACTACCTACTGCGTCGCCAAATTACTTTATTATTTGATATAAAACTATAATTTTTTTATTTATTAAAATAATTTCCAATTATTAAAAAGCCTTTTCAGTGTCAGTTTTCAGCCAAATGCATCTAGAATTTTCCGTTTCAATCAACAAGCTTCATTTCAGTGCTTCCCTAATCTTGCTATAAGAGGGTCTTTTTGCATTGCACAACTCAAAAACAAGGCGGCAAAACATCTAATTATTATAAACATTTTAAATTATAAACATTTAATTACTATAAAAATAGAACCAAACCCTTTTCCCCAAATGTCATTATAATTAACAAAATTATTGTTATCAGACATTTATAAAATACTTATTTAACGTGTTGAAGCAACTCAATTCTTAAGTTTATTGGGGGCAACTTGACTGTTTTATGTTCAACTCACTTACATTTATAAAAACAATCAAGTTAACCTAATTCTTTACTTTTTTATCATTTCTATTGTTAAAACATTCTCACATTTCGCAGGGTTGTAAAACCCAACAATGTTTTAACACTACACATATATTTACAATATTTTTTGTTAATTCGGTTTAATTTCTGAATGTTAAGTAATCATAAGTTGTAGTTGTAGTTGTTGTTGTTGTTATTAATAATGCTGTTGTCATTTTCACTGACATTATTACTATGATTATTATTATTGTACTATCTATCTATTATATGTTTTATTTAAATATTTATTATTCTTGCTTCATTTTTTTGAATTGTTGTATATTTTTATGTTCTCTTGTGTATATACTTTGTTTGACTTGTTCACCCAGTTACCTTTACATGCGCGCGCACAACAGGATTGTTTTTTTCAGCAGGGTGTTTTATGTTGATTTTCTCTATAGAGACTTTTTGGATCACTTGTTTCTATTTTTAGATGACCAGATGGTTTTAGTTTCAGTTGTGTTTGGGAATTGTGACTAATTTTACACTCTTTCTTTCAGACACCCCTTTTCTGGCCATGAGGTTCCCATCTCGAATGGCTCTGGCTTTATAATAAGTAGTGATGGCCTGATAGTGACAAATGCCCATGTGGTCGCCAACAAGCTTGGTGTTCGTGTCAAACTGGCCAATGGTGAGACTTACAACGTCACAGTTCAGGATGTAGACCAGGCTGCAGACATCGCCACCATCAAAATCAATGTTAAGGTACAGATGGAGCTTTGAGGTTGTACTGTTAACATTTGTAATCTTTTGGGGATATTTAATTTTTTAATTAGGGCTGCACCGATCCTGATACTTGGATTGAATATCGGTTCAATACTGCATATTTTTACTGCAAATCCCATCTTGCACGTGCTCTATATTCTGTGTAATTTATGAGCAAAGGAAAGCCAAAAAGTTAGCCTTTTATAAGACAGTAGAAAATTGTCTTGTAGGCCTACTGTATCCCAAATGTTTTGAAGCCATTCTATAGTTTAATGTGAAGTACACACTGTTAAAAATTGTTAAAAAACAGTAAAATACTGGCAGCTGCTGTTGCCAGCAATGTACTGTTATTTTACAGTATGTCGCTGTAAAAATACATGAACTACATTGATTTACACAATACTCAAGGGAACTCATTTTGTTCACTGAAAGCAACTGCCTCAAATTGGTCAACTGCTGAATGAGTTTATGAAGTATTGTGCTATACATGCTTAGAAGTATACTTATAATGATAACTTATTTTAGTTAATTAGAAAAGTTCGGTTTAACTCTAATGTCTTATTTTTCACAACAGCACACATACATGTAAATCTGGAACTACCAGAGATTCTGACTGCATCAGCAACTAAACAGCCGCTATCTTTAAATAGAGAAACATGCAGAACAACATCAGCAGTTCACTGTTCATCTTTAACTCATACACTGGCTCTACTCTTCTCCACAACGGTGACACACAGAAGAAATTAGCTTCAGGTTTTACAGTAAAATACTGTTTTTTCCTTTATTTAACAGTAAACTACTGGCAGCTGTGGTTGCCAGCAATCTACTGTTTTTTTACAGTCTATTTCCGTAGTTTAAATTAACAGTAAATTACTGTTAAAATACATTTTACACTGTGATTTTACCTCTCACACCTTTAACCCTTTGAACCCCAGAGCATATACTTCAGTTTTAATTGAAGTGTCCACACTACTGAGTGTTCAAGAAACGTGTAGCAAAGCTGAAGTAAATGAATTAATCAAACGACTAATTAAATGATGATTGAGGATTAACGATGAACAAATGAAGAAATACTGAAGGGAAAAAACAAGAACAGAACATACAAAACTACAACTTTAGTCACAGCATTATAATAAAATAACCTGAAGGTCAACAAATGCTTAAATCATTTGAATGATCAGCGGATGATTAAACAACTCTACAAACATCATCACCAGCTTCACTTATTACTGAAACGTTTATTTTTGTGTAACATCTACTAAAGTTCTTCTTGAGAGTAAGGGTAACATTTTACGTCACTATCATGGAGAACAGAGTTTGCTTTAGTTGGGCTTTTAGCCCTGACATCATTATCAATAATATATTTTGGCTGCTGCAATTGTTAGGAGCTTCGTTTAAAAAACTTACTTGATGTGGCAAGCCAGCCAAAAACCTAAAGAATGTCTGGTAATGTTTATGTTGCTATTAAATGCCAGAATCTGTTCTAATTTAATGTAATATTATTTACTGCTCTTATTCAACGTTAATTCTATTGTTTCACAATATATGTGGCAATGATTTCTAGAAGTTTTTAAGAATATCTTGGACAAAAACACTTTGCTCTATGATGTAAGTTGCACTCAAACAGACATCAATAATCAGCATATGAACCTCAACTATGGTGACAAGTAACAAAATTAACAGTTTAACTCACAAACAGGCAACTAAAAGTCTAAACATAAATAAAAGCAGAATAAAACGCAAATAAAGAAAACTGTAAGACCATTATACTACATTTATTCATGCCGCAATGCATACTGGGAAATTTGTACTGTGCCACAACCAGCATGCATTGCAGTATGAAACATTTTAATTGTTACCATTGTTGAGGTACAAGGTCTGATTCATGAGGTCTGAGTGTGTCTTTATCTTAACTGAACTGTGTTAGTATGTTATCTCTTAACTGTAAAGTAATTATATAAGTATCTTTTATGTTTCCACTTATTAATTAAATTAATATCTGCAACTAAGCATAAAATTTATTGAATGATACCCTTCATCCAGGTTTATACCCAAACATTTATCAGAACTATCTTCAGACAAATAGATTAATCTATCTATTGACTTTTCCACATCAATGCTATAATAAAAGTGTTTTGTAAACTCTGTTTTACAGCAGCAGGAAAGTCTAAATAAATAAGTTCAAGGGTGAAGACAGCAACTAAACCAGCCCCTCACTCCATTACGGTGACACGAAAAACACCTAAATTTCTGTTGGATCTCAATGAGAATAGTATGGAAGTCAAATTAGTCAGTAATAAGTGTGTCTGCTGTTGTTTGTGGAGTTGTTTAATGATCCTCTGCTGAGACTGAAGGTGTTTTATTTTATTTGATTTTATTTAATGCTGTAACTGACGTCACTGTTTGTGTTTCTTACCTTCAGTACTTTTTTTCAGAGTCGTGGTTTGGAGAATCGGGATGGAAAAGGCGTTACATTGGAGTGATGATGTTGACTTTGACCCCCAGGTGCCAAACACTTTTATTACAATTTTACAGGAGAGCAAAATTCATACATTATGGAATCTACAGATTTTTGTTATATGCCACTAGATTTGGCTCTTAGAAATTCAAGTGCTGGAATACCTGGAAAATTAGCTTGTTCTGTTGAAAAGTGCTTAATTTATCAAGGAGAATTTGTATGCAATTTTCACGCCTGAAAAATAAAAATGTTTGTGAATTTTTGTGACAATTTAATGCAAAAATACCCGCACAAACTAACGTGATTCCGAAGCAGTGATTTAAATGATATGAAAAGTGGCCAATCACAGTCAACCTTGTCTAGTTTTACTTGAAATGTAAGAGCGGGACAAAGGCCTTTCTGTGTTGCAGTGACAGAAAAATAACTACTCAAAAACAAGTTTTTTATTGGAATAATGCTTTTGGGATGTTTTCACTATAGAGATGTCCATGTTATTAGCAAGAGTAATTAAAGCGCAGAGATACTTCCTGCCATTTCAATGATCTACACACACATTTTGCTCTCTTCTCTCCGCTCTCTTCTTCTGACTTGTCTGTCACTCTTCTGAATGTCGGCGCGGGAATGCAGGTATTGTGCAATTACTCATTTCTGCAAACGTATTGAGCGCTTTATTTTAACATGAAAGCGCAGTCATGTACATAAATCGCAAAAACAGATATGCGAGCTCTTAAATAGGCTTTTTCAAATTACCTGCAAGTCCTCTCATCATCTCGTGTGTGTGCTCAGACTGTATACAATCGCGATCTCTTCAATAATAAAGTAGAAGTTATTTATCTTTGCTCCTTGACCAAATTTAATATTTAAATTACAGACTTTTTGTTTGGCTGTATCGTCAAGTGAAACTTACTTTGAGCAAAGTTGGAACTTTTTGTATTTTTTTAAGACAAAAGAATTATGCTAGAAATGTTTCTGTTTGGGGTTTTTGTGGGATTTATACATTATAGCTGTATTCTGATCTGTCTTAAAGCATCACTGAATTGTACAGGCATTACAGGTCAAAGCAATCTGCTGTTACATTTAACATAATAAACAATAAGACTCTTCAAACACTGCTTTGAAAAATGCAGTGTTGTCATATTTCAAATACCTAGAGTTAAACAAAGTCATTTGCTTTATTATTTTGTTACTGACAGTGTAGTAGTCTTTCTTGTAAAATTATTTCAGTTTAAGATCAAGTGTAAAATAATATTTCCATGTGCTGTACAGCTATTTAAGAAACAAATTTGCCATATTGTAAAGACAAGAATGAGCAAATAAGAAAAATGGTGTAAAATATGTAAATAAAAGGGTAAATTTAAATATTTTTATCATATACTTTAATTAAACCTTTCAAAACTTGAAAATATTGTTTAAAAACATGGACAAAATGTGTCTCTGGTCTTATAGAGTATGTGGTAGTTTTGCCAGTACTATTGAAAAAGATTAATTGTCATGGAAGGAAAAATCGACCATACTTCCTTTGTTAGTGCACATTTTTATATATGTAGCTTTGTGATTTAAGCAATTAAACCATTCAAATAAATTTATTATCATTTCTTGAAAAAAGAGCCATAATGAAAATCTGAGTTTTTTCCCAAAAAAAATCTAACTAGTACTCTTAGTTTTTAAAAGAGTACTTTGTATTTTTACCCAATGTTAGTATTATTTACCAAAACTTGTATTATTTTAGCAGTGTAATAGTATTTTTACTTGAGTACAAAAAAAAAACATTTTCACAAGCACATTTAGTGCAGGTTTATTATATTATTAATACACAATTGATTAATTAATTATATTATTAATATTATGAATATTAATGGTTTTTAGTTATATTTATTCCTGTGCAGTGTTTTAACATGTTGCGTGTCAGTCTTGAAAATAAAAATAGGTGCTGGAAAAAAGTGCTTAAGTCCTTGATTTTCATTAGGCTGTGCCTGTATGAGCCCTGTAAAATTCAAGATATTGGGGAAACAAAAATTCCCATTTAAGGTTTTAGTTGTGTATACATAATGTAGAATTGAGCAATATCACTAAATATTTTTTGTCCCAAATGACATGAGTTTAATTGTGGTATTGATTTAAACAGTTCTGTAAATAATTTATATATGTGTTGACAAAATTCTTAATCTAATACATTTACTCAGTTGATGACAGTTCTAGTTTCTTGTTATGATGATTATTTCATTAAACCAAATGATTTAATATTTTCTAATAATCATAGGTAAATGAATTAATAAATAGATAATAAATAATGGAATAATTATATCATTTATTCATTTTGGTTTAGTTTTAAACGTGTATCAATTTCTTTATTTTGGTTAGTTTGTAACCAAACTGTTTTAGAGTGTCCAAATACCAATTTAGAGACCTCTGGAAATTTACATTTATTTGTAGTAATGTTGAATAGAAAAAATTATTATCTTTTTTCTAAATTTATACTTGATGTTTTTGTATTTAACAATTATGAGTGAAACTTTTGTATTTTGAGCAGTTTCTCAGTAAAATTTAAGATGGATACACAGACAGACAGACAGACAGACTCTGAATATTTGCTCTGAAATAGCATGTAAGTGTGGCTTAGTAATAAATGTAATTCCTGCACGGCGCCGGCCGAACACTAACTAACTGGCGAATGACACTAACTAGTGAGTTGTCTGCTGTTGTGACGCGATGCACGCATTCGCGATTTCTGGAGGCGTGGCTTTGCATCACAGTCCCTCTCCGCCGTCCAAGGCTAATATGTTAACCGATTAGCATTTTGGCAGATCACCTACTGCACCTCTAATTTATCAGTACATGCTATAATCAATCAGATTAAATGTGTGTTATGGATATTGAACGATATCCACAGCCCTGACTAAAAATAAATTGCTCATAAATTTTGGTCATAAAATGTGCAGACACTGGTTAATAATCAATATTATTAGCTCACGTGTGTTTGTCCAAACTGTTACATGGATTACACTTTTGCGTATTTGCCTGTGCACACATTCCTGTCAACACAAATAAACTTTGCACTGAAGTGAGTCTTTTATTATCTTTAAATTCTCTTTTTCCCCTCCTCAGTATAATCGAAGAGCTAAGGATGCGAGACCCGTCCTTCCCTGATGTTTCTCATGGAGTTCTCATCCACCGTGTGATTGTAGGATCTCCAGCCAACAGGTGTGCTGCTCTCTGAACATGATGTTATCAGCTGTTGATTAAGGCATCCTTTTGATGATGTCATTTCCTGTTTTCTGTTTTGCAGAGCTGGAATGAAGCCAGGAGATGTTATTATTGAGATCAATGGGGTAAAGGTGAACACGTCGGAGGAGATATATAATGCTGTGAGGACCAGCGAAAGCTTAAATGTGGTGGTCCGCCGGGGGGCCGACCTGCTCATGCTGCACATGACCCCAGAGTCCACAGAGTGACATCAAGTCAAGTATTTAGTAAGATTAAGAAATGGTGAGTAATGAGAAGCTGTCATAGTTGGAGATGTTGTAAGAAAGGAATCATCTAAAGAGTTGAACAGTTTTAGCAAACGCTGGACATTGGTGTAGTAAACGTGTTTCTGGAAGCGTATGAAATCATGTGGATGATTCAGACTTCTGTACACTGGATAAACCTCAGTGTGTCTGCGCAAACTACACTATCAGTATTGATTTGAAGGAATATCACTGAATATTTTGTTTAGGATTGTCATGATGGCAACAAACACTCAAAGACCTTAATAAAACTGGGTGCTCTTATTGTGAAAATGCTGATGTTTTGTATTGAGTCTCACATTCTCATGTTACGACGTTTGTATTTTAATACATTTTTCTGAACAGCTCTGATTTCACAATAAACCATTGGAATATTTATGGATGATTTGCTTATGTCGCAGTGACTGATATGTTTAGGTTTTGGGTCAGCGCTGTACAGCATTCTGAAAAAGTGTATTTCTAAAAGTGCGCCGTAATGACGCCAGTGTCAACTGCAGTGTGTGTTGGAAAGGACTGGATGCTGTTCAAACCTCATGCCAAATTTTTGTCACCCCAAACAAAACCATTTTAAATCCACACAATCTGACAACACTGGGGCTAGATCACAATATAAGCCACAACACAAGTGAGTTCAATAAAATATATCTTTATTACAGACATGTACAAAAATCAAATATACAAAACATTCTGCTAATGTGACTCAGAACTCCAGCATGGACCAGTCGTGGTAAGGCATCTCTTCTAGAGGAATTCTGCACTCTGGATTCTCATGCAGACAAGCCCTCATCATATCACAGCATTCTGTGAAGAAGAAATGGAGAGGTGAGGTTATTGTTATTATTATTATTAAGCTGTTTCACTTAATTGTTCTTTGATGAACATCTCACCTTGAGAGAGGGTAAATTTGGACCAGTCATGTTGAAGGTAGTACAGGTCATACGCTGATGGGAATTCTCCATGGAGCATTGTGAACAGAAGAACCCCAAGAGAATAGACCGTCGCTGGTTTGGCCCGGTAGCATCCTTTTTCATAAAACTCTGGCGGGATGTACGCTTCTGTGCCTGGAGGAGAGACGTTTAGTTTAGCATCATGTTGAATATATATACCAGATGGGCTTCAGCTGTGCTAATTAACCAGCTTTCAATACGTATATTAATAATGCTTATGCACATTCATAACTAGTGATGTCAAAAGTATCAACTACCAATCGATACCGACACTCATCACAGTCATATTTGATGAGCATGTGAACACCAATGGCCAATCAGTGGTGTTTAACAGCGCTCAAATTGACTTGTTAAATGTCAGAATCGATTGGTACCGAAGTCGATACTTTTGACCACACTATTCAAAACACCTACCAGAGAAGATACTGTAGGCTGATTCCATCATGAAGTCTCCACACCCGAAGTCGATCAGCTTGACTTCCAGTGTGTCGGGGTTCACCAGCAGGTTTTGAAGCTTAATATCCCGGTGGAACACCCCGCGGTAACAGCACACGTTGGCCGCATAAACAGCTTGCCTCATGATGGTATGTGCTGTTTTCTCACTGAGGACTCCACCGCTGACTTCAAGGAATGCCTCCAGGTCCATGCTTGGACTAGGCCGCTCCATCACCATGACATAATGGTTTTCAAAGACCTGCCAGTCCAGGAGCTTAATAATGTTCGAACACCTGGAGCCACCGCTGGCCATGTTTGCCAAGGTGATCTCTAGAGGAAGTGGCTGGTCACATGACTGAAAACAAAATAATAATGTTGGTTTTCAAACAAGGGTTTCTGACCACAGCCTGTGGTCTATAATAAATATAAGACTTTATAAACTGAACACAGCGAACAGAAAGTGTAGTCTACTCACAGAGCTGACATCTTGCATATTTGGGGTCTTCTGGACAAATTTAACTGCCACCTGTTTAAAGGAACAAGCGAACAATTAACATGTGCACGGAGATCATTTCATTCAGTCATAAATCCTGAACAGAGGATTCATTCGTCAGCAGAAATGTCCAAACAATGAAAGCTCTGATGATGTTCTTTAAACAGGGAACTTCATCAGAGGATTTGAGTCTACAAAAATGAATACCTGCAGACCATCCTGTATGCGAATCCCCTCATACACGGAGCCGAAACCTCCTTCACCAAGCTGCTTTCCGAGTTTGTAGCGGCAGCTGATGTCATCTGTTAAAAATGAAGAAAATGTCATTAAATTATAAACCAAATAAAAACACAAACAGTTGAAGTCAGAATTATTGTCAGATTTCAGAACATGATAGTTTTAATAACTCATTTCTAATAACTGATGTCTTTTATCTTTGTCGTGATGACAGTACATCATATTTACTGGATATTTTCAAGATACCAGTGTTCAGCTTAAAGTTCTGAATACTTAAACTTTATTGCTCTGCATCATTTGGGAAATATTTAAAAAAAATATTAATAAAAAAATCACAGGAGGGTGAATAATTTTGACTTCAACTGTATAATTTTACAAAGTTTGATGAGCCTAAACAAATGTTCTGAACTCCAGCAATAAACTTACTATTGTCCAAGCAGGTCCCATCATCTGCTGTAGACTCCACAGCAGAGTCCTCTTGTGAGACCTGATCCGGTGAAGGGTTCGAGTTTTCATCCAGGGCAGAGTCACAGATGTCATCTGTTATGAGCTGCTGGCTCACTGGAAGTTCATTGTCCTCATCAGATGGTGAACTTGGAGGACTATCAAGCTCTTGCTCCAGGCTGTCCTCACTGAGGGAGGATTCGTTGTCTTCTGGGAAGTGAAGCTCTGCAGAGTCGTTCTCAATGACCACTGCAGAGTCAAAGCTTTTCACTTCCGGTTTAGAGTCTAAATCTTCGTCTGCTGGAGCATCAAGAGCTGGAGGTTGGAGAACTTCCAGCTCCAGGTTGCTCACAGCAGTGCAGAAGAATTTAGAGCTACTGATGGGCTCTGCGTGAAGTTCGTGGATCTCCTGCACACATAGCTGATCTAAAGAGAGGAAGGAACATCATTAATATGACTCTACAACTCTTTTTGACAAGATATTTGAACAGTTCATTTGCAGAAACATTACTCAATGTGTTTTTATTGATGATCTTCATGGGTTTCTGCATTGAATTAGCAAACAAGTAAACTATATATCTAAAGGCAAAGCTCACTGAAATAAAAAATCCTAATACAAATAATTCTTATTTTTTCTGTTTTTTACACAAAACTACAAATTCTGAAGAAAATTCCTGAAATCAGCAGCCATTAACCTTCATTGTAGGAACACAAAATACTGTGGAAGTCAATGGCTGAAAGCACCTCAAACAGGTTTAAGGAGTAAATTATGACAGAATTGTCTTGTTTATGTGAACTGTGGCTTTAAGAAACTCTTTCTAAAATGTCCTCCAGTTAATGTTCATTTCTGATCTTTAAACACTTATGTGATGTGTTTGGTGTGTTTAGCTTTAGTAATTAAAAGTGCTCATAAATCTATTTTACCAACAACAGTAGCTCTTCTTCTGGAGAAACAGGTGAAGAAGATGGGAGACAATTTGAGTTTCCTCTTTTTCTGTCTCCCTGCCTGTTTTCCTGCAGCGACGGCCGGGTCATCGGTCATCAGATGACGGTGATTCTCTGTCGTGCTGCCGGTGGGTTCGAGTGGCTCACACGGTTGTTCGTTCGCACACTTAACACCAAACGCTTTCTTCAGACGGTTAATCAGTTTTGAAAATGCCATTTTATCACTGTACTGTTGAATCGCAGAAAGTACTGAACTACTAGACATCCAAAGAAGCTAATGAGAGTTTCTGCTACGTCAAAAGCTTTTTACTGTCACCGATGATGTCAGAGTTCCACAGTTCCATTTGGTATGACGTAGAGACTTTTTAAAACACAACAAACTTCTAATGCAGGCCCGCGCTAGACTGACTGGCTCTTAATGTGCACACACAGCTGATATACACATTTTGGCCAATTATTAATTATTTATTTTTGCAATTAGGCCTATTTATTTTTGCACAAACATGCACATTTTTTCCTGCGTTTTGCTTTCTATTATAATTATTATTAGAAGTAGTAGTAGTATAACACACACTCACACACACACACACACATATACATATATATATATATATATATATATATATATATATATATATATATATATATATATATATATATATATATATCTTCTTTATAAATTATAGTATTCATTATTTATATAGTTTTCAGAGTAATTTACTTTACAAATAACAAAAGGCAGAAGCAGGAGACAAAATAAAAACTGGACAAACAGGTAATTTTAAGTAGGCTACTTAATGAATAATGATTAATAAACGCAAGTGTGCTAAACTTGAGTGTTACACACTTGTTTCAGAGATCCGAAATTTTGTTACATTTCAACCATTAAAATGTTCCTGTCATGTCAGGGTGCTTCTGGTGTGGACAGACAAATACATTGTAGCAGGAATTTTGTCTGGTCTCTTGAAGTTAGGATACTAGTTTTAAACGATTTTTGTGTAGTATTTGGCGATCCATTATCTTTTTAATTTTATTAAACTTGTAATGGTTGTATGTAACTGGACTTGTGAAATTTAATCTAAAAGGTATGTTTTTTTTTTCTCAATGAAATAACATTAGTGACAACATTAGAAAAACATACAAAAACATTGTAAGAGCTGTTGTGTCTCGTAATCACTATTTTGGATGACTGACAGTTTCTTACAGCCAGTTATTTATTGCTATCCTGTGCTCATTTGCAAATTACTTCTAAAATCTAATACTACATATATTATCAGTTTCTGTAATTTGAAAATAATTGTTTACAGTATTACAATATTTTTGTCTCTGTATTGTAACGTTACATCTTCCCATTTAGGCACAATATTTGCATTTTAAATTAAAAACTTCTTAGTGAATTCTTAACCTTTATGAATTATTATTTATTTTTTATGAATAATGTTTCAAATAAAATATTAAAAAGAAAAATATGCAACTATAGTAAAAATGAAGTTATCCATGAATTACCTGAAACCGCCAGTAGGTGGTGGTAAGACACTGTCATACAGTTTTTTTCTAAATACTTAAACCCTAACCGAGATTCTTATAGCACAATTTATAAAACGATTAATTATTATAGCAAAATCACTCACCGAGTTTGCAAAATTAAAAGCACAAACACTGCTTTGCACTCAGTTAGGGTTAGGCTTTGACCCAATTTTGTAACACACACTTTGCAAAATTGTAAGTAAACTGCACAGCACTCTTTTTGCGGAACTGTAAACACAACTCACTGCTTTACACTGAATTTCCAAATGATCAACACACTCCTAGATAAAATTATAGCAATTTGATTTACACACTTTTGCCAACTGTCTGGCACACTGTCACATGTGAAAACTGTTTCAGATAATTAGTTTACTTTGCAATCAGCCCAAGCACTAAGCCACCTGGAAGCTGTCCGTGGAGAACAATGGAGGGAGCAGGAAGAGTGAGAATTAGAGGACGCCGAGGAAGAAGACGTGGTGGAGGTGAAGAAGTGAGAGGGAGAGGACGACAAGGAGGTGAAGTTAGAGGAAGAGGACGACAAGGAGGTGAAGTTAGAGGAAGAGGACAACGAGGAGCAAGAGGAGAGGTGAGAAGAATTATTCATAGAATTACTGATGACATCAAGCTCCCTTACAAAAAAGAACTGCAGTATAACTGCAGTATAAATGCAGTAAAATTAAGTACAATTGCAAAATTGCAGTACAATGAAGTATAAACACAGTTTAAATACACTACAGTGCTGTGAGACAACAGTGCTAACCACTGGGCCACCGTGCCACTCATCTAGGAAAGGAGGAGGAGTAGGGGTGTAAGGGGGGATTCTTCAAAACGAAGGTCCAGCCCCAAGCAATCATAAGCACATGATCTTCTCCAAATTAGTTCATAAATCCCTGCTGAAAAATCCAGCTTAAACCAGCCTAGGCTGGTTGGCTGGTTTTAGCTGGTTGACCAGCCTGGTTTTAGAGGGGTTTTGGCCATTTCCAGGCTGGTTTCCAGCCATTTACAGCCTGGTCTTAGCTGGTCAGGCTGAAAAATGACCAGCTTAATCCAGCTAAAACCAGCTTGACCAGCCTGGTTTAAGCTGGACATAGCTGGTTTTGGCTGGGCTCTCAGCCTGGCTAGGCTGGTCAAGCTGGTTTTGGCTGGACTCCCAGCCTGACCAGCTAAGACCAGGCTGGAAACCAGCCTGAAAGTGGCCAAAACCTCTCTAAAACCAGCCTGGTCGACCAGCTAAAACCAGGCAACCAGCCTAGGATGGTTTAAGCTGGATTTTTCAGCAGAGTAAACTTCACATTTTGCTGCTTTTGGCCTGAAAAGGTAAGAAATGAGCAGGTTGTTGTTGTTTTTAAATTATTTTAAGTTTGTTTGTTGTCTTTCATAATGTGCATAATATAATATTGATGTGAAGAAGATTGACATGTTGTTGCAAGGGTTACAGGGCTGATCCTATACTTCCAGAATTCTTCCCACCGCAGCCTCGCTATTGTTTTAAAATGGCAGCCGCGTGAAGTAAGCATATTAATGTACGCAATAGCGTTTGGAAACCCTGAAAAAAAATTATATAAAAAATGTATCAAGTGTGTGTGCATTGTGAATAAATGTATATATATGAAAGACTACATCTTAAAATGTGGATATATTTTCCTAGAAAAGACAAAGCTGCCACTTATAGTATATAGAGGCTACAGAAAAAAAGTGAAGGGTGCAGAGAGATAGAGAGAGAGGAAAAAAAAAAAAAAACGTTGAGCAGCGTTGTTCTTTAATGGCACACTAACCACTACACTATTGCCGCGCTCTGAATCATCTGTGTAATCATATGCAGTGGGTAATAGAATAGTTAAGGAACTGTACAAAAGTGTATAAAACAGTTCAGTGCTGCGCATACTGTACAGATGGTTCTACATGCTATTGCCACATTGTTGGCTACAGTAGCCTAAAATGCCCTGAGACAAAAACAGAGCTGCAATGAATGTTTTCTGAGGCAAGCCTCGCGGTTTGTCACGTTTGATTTCAAAAGGTTTGTTACAATTTTTTCTGATTGCTTAAGCTCAATTTTGAAATTAAGGCTCATTTTGTCAAAACACTACACACAATTTACACATCCATACACACAAACAGCAGAACACATCAGTTTCCTTTGCAAAATGAAACACTTCATTTAAAAATTTACAACAATATAACATAACAAATTTAACACCGTATGGAACACACACGCTTCATTCAAGATAAATCCGTTAGCTTCAATTACACACTGCTGATCTCAATCTTAAATGCTTGGATAATTTCTAACTGACTAATACTGATCTGGGTTTGATTTGTTTCAGAGATATTGCTATAAAGTACATGAACATACTGTGTGTAAACTGTCGTTAGCTGATTGGTGTGTCTACAGTTTTGCAGCTGTGTGCGCACACCTGAAGGCTGTGTTAAACCTATGGTTCATGTGTGTGTTCATTTGAAGGCCTTTGCTTAAAATTTGCAAGGAAACTCCGTTATGAAAAATATCTGTGAAAAGCATCCAAGTGTGTTTAGTGATCTGCAAATCACTGTGTGTAATGTTTTGCAAAAACATGTGAAGCTGACTATGTGCTTACAGTTGTGCAGATCTAGCCTTGTGTTTTGCACCTTGAGTGCAAGGTTTTGCTAGTTGAGGGAAAAAGTTTCATTTTAGTGTGTAAGCAATCGTGAAAACTGTAAATACATTAATGATTCTTTTGAAAAACAACGCTCATCCAAATATTGATTTGGGTATGAAAAAAAGCACTTATAACCCTCTCACGATGAAAAAAACGTGTATATCTGTGCTTCTACGTCCATCAAAGTTCTCAACAAAAGAGCTTGCAATGCTTAGTAAACCTTCTGAAACAGACAAACTCTAGAACATAACCTCCTCCAGAGCAGGTTATCTTTAAGGAGGAAGTTGCTATAGCTACTTAACATACCCCAAAAGTTACCTCCGTTTTTGGTTATCCTCCACTCATTCTTAAACTTAATCAGGTATGACACATAACCTGCTGTCTGGAATACCCCCTGGTCCAAGAGAGAGGGCTTATATTTATAAAAAAAATAATGAATTCAATTTTGTATTAACTGTTCAATCTTCATGGAACACATTATTTTGGAGCTGAATTTCTCTTATGTGTGAATATATATATGTATAATATGCAGTTGAGGTTTTTCCCCCAAATTCTGTTTAACGGAGAGATTTTTTTAAAATACATTTCTAAACATAATAGTTTAAATAACTCATTTCTAATAACTGATTTATTTTATCTTTGCCATTATGACAGTAAATAATAATTTACTAGATATTTTTAAGACATTTTTAAGGCTTAACTTGGTTAATTAGGCAGGTTAAGGGCATTAGACAAGTTATTATTGGTGGTTTGTTCTGTAGACTATTGAAAAAATATGTACAGTAGCTTAAACAGGCTAATAAATTTGACCTTAAAATAGTTCCTAAAAAATTTTAAACTGCTTTTATTCTAGTCGAAATAAAACAAATAAGACTTTTTTCAGAAGAAAAAAATATTATCAGACATACTGTGAAAATTTCCTTGCTCTGTTAAACAATTTGAAAAATATTTAAAAGCTAATAAAAAAAATCAAAGGGTGGCTAACAATTCTGACTGTGTGTGTGTGTGTTTGTGTATTCAGTTGAAGTGTTAAAGTCAGAATTATTAGCCCCCATTTTTTTCCCTTTAATTTTGAACACATTTTTAAACATAATAGTTTTAATAAATCATTTCTAAAAACTGATTTATTTTATCTTCGCCATGATGACAGTAAATAATATTTTACTAGATATTTTCAAGGCTAATAATTCTGACTTCAATTGTATATATGTGTGTGTGATTTGACAAACAAAATAAAAGTGAAAAGTCATTATTCAAAAAGCATTAAGTCATTTTCAGTCACTACCACTGGGCATACTGCCCCGTCTGCTCATCTGTAGCTGCATCATTCCAGTCCGGTTTATAGCTCGTTTCAAATAATTGCGAAAGACAGAGCTGGAGAAGCCGTAGATAACCGGGTCCAGTGCGCTGTTTAAGTAGGTGAAAGCTATAGAAATAGAGAACAACTGACCGTTAATATTGTAAGCCTTACAGTACTCACTCCCCAGATTTTTTAAATAAAGTGCCAACAGTCCTGTTCCGATGCTAGGAAAAAAACAGAGAACAAAAACAACAACTATCACCAAGACGGTTCGAATTGCCCTTTGCCCTCTTTTGTCCTTGTCAATTTGGCGAGAACATAGAACACATGCAATTCTCACAGAGCAAAAGACCAGCAGTAACAGAGGCACAAAAAACTCCAAGACAAACAGAGCATAATGAAGTTGGATGCGTAGTGATGGCTTTTCATAGTTGCTGAAGCTTCTACAAAGCGAAACATTTTTCTCCACAGTCAGAAGGGTGTTGGTCAGCAAAGGAATCTTCAGAGATATCACAACAGCCCAGATGAGGCAGGCAACACCAGCTACTTTTTTTGTGCTAGCATGGTTGATTCTGTGATGTGGGTGGACCACTTTAAAGTAGCGATCCAAAGCCACAGCAGTCATGAAGGCAATGCTGGCCGAACGATTGACTGACAGCATGAAGAGGTTGATCCGACACCAAGCATCTCCAAATATCCACTTCTCACCACGGAGTAAGTTGTCAATACGGAATGGCAGACTCACAAGAAGCATGAAATCAGACAAAACCAGGTTGAAGAGAAATGTGACATTGGCCCTCCAAGACCTGAAGTTTTTGCTGAAGACTGACAGTGCCAAGACATTGCCAGGCAGACCGAGTAACAGCTCAATGATGAGGACAGGAGGAAGGACGGATGCCACCAGTTCCTGACTGGATGTACCACAATGATGTAAACTGGTGTTGGGCGTCATGGCTGTTCAACGGTAAGAGCTGTTTCTGAAAATACATTTAACATTGTTTAGAATTTACAGTTTTACAATAGGAAAATCATTCAGCTGTCAAGTTAGGTAAATGGATAGTGTTACCCTTACGTGGCCTACATTTACCTCATGTAAAAGTGATTTTCAATTTCATTTTATTAGTTTTTTTTTAAATACATTTAACAAGTTTCTTAAACTCCTAACGCACCAACACACCTAAAACACGCGATGGGCTCAAATTCATGCATTGTAAAAAAAAGTCAGCAGCTAGGGTGCTGGAAACCCCCCCGTAGAATAACAACTGTTAAATTACAGACATTTACCATAAAATAACAAACTTTAGAGAAATTTTTGGTAAAATATTCAGGTGTAAACTGAAGAGTGTTTGACATCATTAAGCCAGATGTATTTTTTTGTAGTGCCCAACATTTGTTCACTGTAGGCTTTGCTATGCTAAGCTAACTCTGTAAATGTCTTCCTTTGCATTGAAATTTGCCTTGAACTTTGAAGCGTCTTACCTTCAAAGGTGTTTATGTTCGCACAGATCCATTACACAAACTAAAGTTAAAAAAAAGGTTAGCACAGTGGACCACCTCTTTAACATATGTCACTGCCAGTTGTTATCAGTTTAGACAGTGTTATCAGCGTAGATCAGTTTAGAGTTTTCAAATAACTTCCTCTTTTTGAGTCAAAGTGACATCAAGATTGAAAAAGGAAGCCTTCAATACAGAAACTTTTTCAACAATCTGCAATATTGTATACTAGTATTAAAAATATTTGGATTATTTGGTGCTTAAGCAACTTTTAAAACTAACTAGGGTAAATGATAACTCTAGTGCACATGAAAGTTTGACACATACAGCAAATAGCCAATCACACGAGACATGAGAGAACCAGTTTAATTCCGATCTTGCAAGAAATGTGATGAAGATTAGGAAATATAATGAATGATAACACATCACCTAGACAGTGCAAACATGGGGTTTAGTCTTGACTAGCCGGGGAGTATGAAATAATACGTGAAATGGGCTGCTCAATTAGGTGTGAATTCAACTACAAACAAGTATACTTAGAATATGTAATTATACTTTTAAGCATGTGTTAATGACCAAGCAAATTCCACATATACAAAAACTTTTCAGTCAGCATAATTGAAGTATACTTAAAGAGCCCCTATTATGGGTTTTTGAAAATGACCTACTTTGTAGTGTGTAACACAACTCTAACGTGAAGTGAAATCTCCAGCTAAGGCTTTATTCTGACAGTGTTTGAAACGATTGATTTATTTATAAAAGAGTCTACTCATAGTGCTTTAAATAAATCGTCTTGATATTGAGATTTTCACACACGTGATGTCGATATGAAACTTAACCCCTGGCCATTTTTTGCGCGTGCAAACCTGGGAAAATTGAAACCTGCAGCCCCGCCCACAAACACTGTAGCAGATCCAGTCATGAAAACGCTGTGCTCAGCTGGATATTACTGGAAGTGTGAGGGGAAAGTTAGTGTTATTTTCTCTACCCAAAGATGAAACTGTGAAGAGTCAGTGGTTGAGGTTTATTTTTGCAAAAAATACCTCACCATTACAGCCCAGGCTTGTGCTGTTCCCGTCATTAATCTTACGAGTGCTTTAGCAATCTACACGCTTACAAAAGGGATTCGGCACTCGTTTGTTAAAGGAGAGATCAGGAAAGACTATTGATGTGTGGGACTTTGTCAGGGCTTGACAGGAACTTTATCAGTACATAGAACAGTGGATTCTAGCTTGCAAATGATGTATTTAAGGGTGCTTTCACATCTGTAGTTCTCTTCATTTGGTCTGGATCAAGGGCAACAAATGATACATTGCTGCATTTTCTGCCGTCTTTGGGTCGTTTTCACACCACACTGAATGCTTTGGTCCGAACCAGTTGAAAAGAATCAAAATGCAGTCATGTGACAAAATCCACATCACGCATTGGCCAGATGTTATTGAACGCATTTCCTAAACTGCTTTTTGATTGGTCAGAGTTAACGTGTGGGAAATGCCAATGGAACTCCCACAAGTAAGCAAACTGGCAGACACAATCTGTCGCTTGACTATGGAGCTACGACTGCACTGATTGTATCCATGCTCATAGTATACAATATAGTTTGTATTCATCACTTAAACAAACTATATATTTCGAAAATGAAGCACGGCTGTTGCTGGAAAACAATGTTTTAAGGCATCGCAAACGGTGATGGTGCATTGCAGGTCACTTCAGGAGGCGTGAATTAATTTAGCCAAACTGCGATATGGTCATCTTCCGGAAATATTACCAACGATCCATCATGTAATGTTTTTCCCTCTCTCTCTTTCTGTTGGTAAAGCGCTGTCAACAAATATTTTTCCTCCACATTCCATAATGCTCAGCGCATCGGCCTATGGCAGCTATATTAGTCCAAAAGGCGCAGCACTTTTTGTGGTTGGGTCTGTTTTAGTTTGGATCATATTCTCGCCACAAACGAACCGCTCCAGGGTTCGTTTGAAAGCGTACCGAGACCACCTCTTCAAGCAGGTCTCGGTACGCTTTTTGGTCTGCTTTTGGTGCGCACTCAAGTACGATTGTTACATTTACACCTGCCCAGACGAACCACACCAAGAGGGAAAATGAAGTGATGTTTTGTAAACAAATTTCGGGAGGAGTACGCGCAGAAGTTTCAGTATCGAACGTCATTGACAACTATTCTATTATCAAATCAGTTCTTGACCAAACCCCTATATATACACATCAAAGCTGTCTTACCTGCAGCATCTCACGATTTAAGCATCCCTCCACCACCCCGACACTCACCTCTTAAGTATTACATTCCCAGGGGGGAGCGTTCTGGGGCCGGGCTAGATACTTCGCTCAAATCCCAACTCCTCTGTTTCCTGATAAGGGGAATAACTCGAGTTGGGGTGTTTCCCTGAGCTCAGAGCCCTCTCCCCGGACAGCACGCCAAATACGCCTTATTCTTAAACGATTGCAAGTGTGAACTCGTAAACTCTAGTGTGATTCAACCGAACTAAATAAGGCAAGTTTGAAAGCACCCTAATTGTGTTTTGTTACTTGTAACCACTTGTACTGTATCTGGTTAACTCTTTATATTCTCATACGCGTCTAATGCCACATTGAAATTACAGGAGTTTTCTGGGATGAATAACAAAACGGGTGGGTGGCGAGAGATGGGTCCGAAATACAGGAGTGTTTTACACTGCACTCTGACTACTTCAATATTGTTGATAAGCCATAGTGGCATTTCTCTCTGTCTCAAACTGAACGCTGTCGACCAATCACAACAGACTGTCATCGCTCCAATCGGCACAGATTAGTTTTGCACTATTGAGGGGTTTGGGAACAAATTAATTACTTTGTAATTGTAATGCATTACAATATTGAGTTACTCCCCCAAAAAGAAAGTAATTGCCATACGTTACTTTTGAGTTACTTTTTGGTTTGATCTCTTTCACAACTTATTTTTCTTTTTCTTTCTTTCTTTTTTTTTTTTTTTTTTTTTTAAGAGGAGCTCTGCAATTAACAACGCACTGTACAACACATTCATTTAGCTTGAAAAAAAAAAACACATCAAAAAGCTATTTCAGGATAATGTTATTTGAGAACTTCCTGACCCAAGAGCTTTCAACACAATCTCACGGCAATTCGTAACTTTTTGATTTAGTGGCTAATTCGTATGATTTCGTACAATCTAATTTGTACAATTTAGTACGATTTGCTCATCCCCCAATTATGGGTTTAGGAGGGGTTAGGTGCCACGCCTCCTTTTTAAAATCGTACAATTTCGTACAACTTAACTCGTACAAATTTATACGAATTAGCCACCAAACTGGCGAAACGTAAAATACTTACGTTTTCTCGTGAGATCAGGCTGGAGCTCTACATGCCATATACTGATTATTGAAAGTTTAAAGCAACATGTTTGCTACTTTTGTACTATTTGTCTTAAGTAAAATCACTGTCCATATAGACAATCCCTATTTCCTTTTCTTCGATGCGTTCAAAATAAGGAACATATTCTCTCCTTGACCGCTTGATTCATTGTGACTAAAATTTTAATTCAGCAATTTACTTTTTAAAAGTCAACATGCACTTTCAAATAAGTAATTTACTTTTTTTAAGTAATGCATTACTTTACTCGTTACTTAGAAATTAATATTATTACGCAACTCATGTTACTTGTAATGCATTACCCCCAACACTGAAAATAAGTACATAGTAGTGAATTAACATTTTTTTGTAGGGGTAAGTCACTATCCTTTTTAAACAGGAAGAAAAGGTTGTTGCAAAAAAAGATGATGCTTGCAATTTTTAGGGAAGTGTTTTCCTGCACAATAAAAGAGCTGCAATAGCAGAAAAAGTGAAACATTGTTGCATGACTATCCACCACACTAAAATGATAAGATTTAACCCCAGTGCAGTATATTGCATGAATACATAAAAGTTGAAGTTTTAAATATTTAATATCTTGTTGTCACTGGTTAAATTAAATTGCTATTATTATTATTATTAATAGTAGTAGTAGTACTAGCAGTAGTAGTGGTGGTAGTAGTATTTTGCAATCAAACAAGGTCAGGGTTCACAAATCATTCCAATAACTGAAAAGGTATTTTTATGACAAGTTATTACATACTAAGCAGATGGAAATTCCTTGAACTCCAGAAAACAACATGGTTATTCAAACTTGTCAGACTTTTAATCCAGAAAAATACTTCATATTAACACAGTAAATGGATAACATAATACATTTTTACAGGCTTTCCTCGGGGTGATCTTAGACAATATTATACACCAAAGCTTAATTTTATGACATAATATTAAACAAGCTTGTAACATAAACATACACACCTTTTTTACTCGGCAAGTATGTGCTTTGTCAGTATATAAGGAAAAAGGAGCTTTCTCATATCACAATTTGTATATTGCTTTTGGTATTCTAGTTTCACCTTTTTATATATTTTTCTATATAATTTATTTGGTCTTGAGCAACAGTTTTAATTGCCTAAATTGAAGAGTAACTCTACAAATGTTTTGAATACTACAAATCTTTTATAGCATGAGAAAAGTTTGTCATCACTTACCAGACTAGAAAAACTGCTAGTATGCTGATTCTATCTCACTTAAAGTGTGAAACAAGATAGAGTTTGGGGGAAACAACAGTTCAGAAGTTGTCTCAGCTTCCTCTGTCTGAATCATAACAACACCAGGAAGGCAACATCTTAAAGTCTTTCTCAATCACTTTATTTCCTTAAATAATGCAATATGCAGATATGCAAATATGCTAGCCAACCTATTTATATCCTGTATATTTATACATTTATTATTGTATAGAGTATGTAAGAAAACTTGTGTCTTGGCACAAGTTTAATGTTCTCATATAAGGGAAAGACTGACAAAATGTATATCAAAGCAAACTTCCTCTTCGTGTGTCAAAGTAAAATCAAGATTGAAAAAGGAAGTCTTCACCAATACAAAAGCTTTCTTTCTTTTTGTTCATTCTTTTTTAGAATTGGTTCAGCAATCTGCAATATTGTATACAAAGTATTAAACATATTCTTATTATTTGGTGCTTAAGCAACATTTAAAACTAACTAGGGGTTAGTGATTAACATGAAAAGTGTGACACGTGCAGTAAACAGCCAATCTCACGAGACATGAGAGAAAGTCAGTTTGATTTAGTTCTTGCAATAGAACTGTTGAAATTAACTGAAATAAGCACTCAATATAGCGATAGTTTGAGTAGAAACTATCTAAAGAAACTGAAGAAAACTAACTAAAAGAAAATATTATTATTATTATTATTATTATTAGTATTATATTATTACAGGTTTTATAATGTAGATTCAGACTGCAACTTAAAAACATTCTACAGCATTATATAAGATATATTATGTGAAGGGATTATTGCCAAGCGTAAAGGATATTAATGCACAATGTGGAGGCGAAGGACCCCAACGACACTAAGCAGTGTGCAGTTGCGAAGTGCATTAAAATCCTTTATATATACAGTTGAAAGCAGAAGTTTACATACAGGTATACTCTAAAAAATGAACAACCATTTAAAAAAAAATGTCTGATGGTAAATCATGCTAAACGTTTACTATTTCAGGTCCGTTAGGATTACCTAAATTATTTATATTTGCTAAATGCCAGAAAAATGAGAATTTTTTTTTTTTTTTTTTTTCCAGAATTTTTTTAAATTAATTTTTAGACAATGAAAAGTTTACACATATTTCCTTGGTATGTTTTTGTCTAGCTTTTAAACTGTATAACTATGGTCAAATGTTTTGGGTATCTTACCTCAAGCTTCTCATACTAGTTTGAAGGAATTTTGGCCCATTACTCCTGACAGAATTGGTATGACTGAGTCAGAAGCTTTTTCAACTCTGCTCACAAATTTTCTATAGGATTGAGATCAGGGTTTTGTGATGGCCGCTCCAAAACATTCACTCTGTTGTCCTTAAAGCACATTTGAAGTAATCTGGCAGTATGAATAGGGTCATGGTCTGTTTGGAAGACCCATTTGTGGTCAAGTTTTAATTTCTCGGCTGATGTCTTGATGTTGCTTCAGAATCTTAGTTCTATCAGACCAGAGGACGTCAAATATTTGGGTCCCACGTTATAAGTGGCCTTAACTAATATGTACTTGCACAGGAATTAATAGTTTTTTACAATGTTATTATTGTGTAAATGCATCTATTTACTATGTACTTATGCTTGAATAAACACCTGCATTTAATTATATCTGTAATTAACTTCTGTAATTACATTTGTAAATACACTGTTAACCATCCCTTACACCTTAACCCACCCATACCACCAAACCTGTCCCTAACCCAACCCCTATCCTAACTCAAGAGCACCACAAGTGTTCTCAAATAAATTATAAACACAGTAAGTACATTGTATTTATATTTTTGATGCAAGTACATAGTAGTTAAAGAAACTTAATATAAAGTGGGACCAAAATTTGTCTTTTTCCCAGTGTAATTGAGCAAATTGTAATCTGGCTTTTTTTGTTGATTCTGGCTTGTTGATTTTCCCATGTTGCCACACAAGGAAGCAGTGTGTTTGAGGTTTTCCTTAAATACTATTCAACAGTTTTGCCACCAATTAACTCAAATGTTGTCAATTAGCCAATCAGAAACTTCCAAAACCTTGACATCATCATCTGAGTGTTTTCAGAGGCATAATAATCTTACTGTATGCAAACTTGACTTTTAAAGAAAAGTTCAAACAATTTCTCAAAAAAATCTCTTAGTATTCCGCTGTTAAGCATAACACAAACAAATGTGATAATCCTAACTTACCTAAAAGAGAAAAAAAAAAAAAAGTTTAGTCACGTTAACTTCTGACTTTTTTAAATGCTTATGTGCCTTTTTATACAGTGTATGAAAACTTCTGGTTTCAACTGTATATTTATATACGAACGGGCTGTTGGTGGAGCTGCCTCTGACCACCTGGAGCTCAGAGTCTAAATTTTTATGAGCAATCCTTATACATAAACTGCCAATTTGACTTTAAAATAACTATATTCTCGCTTAAAAACTCTTTAAAAACTTAATTTTGTGGCATAATTGATGAGTATTTTTCTAATTTTGCAGATTTTCTGTCCGCCATTAAAAAATAAAGTTCAACTCAGTTCAGTTGATTTATTGATTTGCATTTATTCATTTCATATTTGGTTAAAAGACCAATACACATATGGTTTCTGTTTCCTTAGATTATTCATATACCCAGTACACTGTAAAGCCCAATAAGTTAAGGTACTTCAAACCGTGAGGAAACTGATTACAACAAACCATTTGAGTTAAAAACTAATCTACATGAGTACTGTTAACTTATTCCATTTAAGCTGAAGTTATGAGGTATTCAATTAACTTACTACCTTCAACACTGAGTTCAAAACTTTTCAAATGAGTAGAATTAACTTTCAGTAAATTGAGTTAACCACACTCATTTCATTTGATAAAGTTGACTGTTGGGTTTTACAGTGTACATCAGGGGTGGCCAACCCTGTTCCTATAGAGCCACCTTCCTGCAGATTTCAGTTGCAACCCATATCAAACACACCTGAACCAATTAATTAGGACCTGAACACCACGTGATAATTACAGGCAGGTCTGTTTGATATGGGTTGCAACTAAAATCTGCATGAAGGTCGCTCTCCAGGAACAGGGTTGGCCACCCCTGGTGTACATTTATAGCTATTTGGATGCACAATTTAGTTCATGGTAATGTATGTTTTGTTAATTTGTTAATTTTTTCTTTGTTTTAAGTTACCATGCTGCAGCACCTGTGGGGAATGGTGACTTTCTAAAGGACAGACTTGCCACAAAGAGCACTCTATTGTTTCACCTGCTGGTACCATCTAACAGATGGTTTGGAGGGAAGGATATTGTTTAATTTAATCCTGTTCATTTCAGACATTGTTAATTTCTTTGATTTGTATTTAGTTTAGCTTGATCTAAAATTTATTTGATTATTAGTGAAGACTTGAGTTTTTTTTTAAAAAGTTTATTGGTGTTTATAAATTGTATTTTCTGTTTCCCTCTGGTGTTAAATGTGGACTAGTCCCACTGTATAAATAGGTCTTAAAGCAGTGCATGCCGGTTCGAAATTTTGTCCGGATTGATGCTGCGCAGATGCCACATGTACTGCAATAGTGCTCTGAGATCAGACGACTGATTCAGCCGGTGCAGCATCTGAGAAGCGACTGCAGGACCTACGATGACGACACCGACATTAGACGATTGGCTGGATTCACCGCATGACAACAACCACGTGTGTTTCGGGTTTATTATTAGACAATTTCCATCAAATTTCAAAACAAACATTTTACTATTCATATCCTCTCTATCTTGTATACATCATGCTTATTAAAAGGCTCAACTATTTTACTGCAGTAATCATCTTTTGTTAAATAATTTGTTTATAAAGGCTAGATTGTTTGCATAGGTTTATTTGGCCTTTTTTATACAGACTATTTACTGCATTCAGCTCCATGAATGGTTTGAATAATATATTTTAGTGAATAGCCTAAATATTACCTCAAATAAGTCTTACAGCGTCACACTGGTAGACAAGGAAGGTTTTCTTTTCACGGTTTTACTCAAAAAGCTTCTAATCAAAGTGTGGAATCAAAGGGATGGTATTAAGGCTGTAGCGATCTTCTTTAACGGCACAGTAAGTGTCAATAACAGATGTTATCAGTCTCACATGCAGTTTGCTCACAAGAACATCAGCCGGTGATCAAACAGACACAGTTTATCTAGTAAATAGCTGATCTTCTGGTAAACGCTACATACAGTAAGTGTAAGCATTCCTCTTGATCGGGGAGGATCAGAAAGCATGCAATTACCATCCGTCGATGAGTATACAAGCACACAGTTCATCAGAATGATAGCAGATCTTCTAGTAAACATCAGATAAGAATAATCACTTCCCTTGATCAGTATGAAGGACTCGAAGACTCATGAGGAACATTAATGGAAGTTGTGGAGAAAACGAAGGAGTGTAGATTAGGACAGCCATCCGACTACCGGCCGATGACTGAGAGGAGAAGCTGGGCATTTATAGTGTCCTTTGGTGATGAGGAACAGGTGCAAGTCATTAGAAAGCTGGTGAGAGTTCACGAGATTGGATGGAGGTGGTTTGTGAAGGCGAACGATTGGGTGAGCAGGAACGAGCCGGGGATCTGACATACAGACTTGTAATAAAATAATTGTCATTATTGATCCTGACATCCCTATAAAGATTTCTTAACAGATTAAGTTTAAAAATGTATATTGTATGAACTATAAAAATATATGATTATAAAATATTTTATTTCCTGTCAAGCCGTTTATGCAGTAATGTTAAAAGTGACATTGATGTGCTCTTTCTAGGATATTTCTACTAAGTGTAGCTCATTTATTTTGCTCCTTTTGTTCAATCTTTTTGGATTAAATTCATTTTTTAAAATGCTTTCATTTTCCAAAATAATCGTAATTATTAAGACTTAATCAAAACACCTTGTTTTGGGTTTTAAACTAACATGTATTGATAAGTTTTATATCTATAAGGGTTAATAAATGTAAAGCCCCTTTTAGCATATTCAAACAATAAGTATTAGCCTAAAGAGTGATGTTTAAACTCCTAACATTTGTGCTAATTGCTTTGTATTTAATAGGCCTATTCGTTTTTGTTTATAAAAACGCCACAGTCGAACGAACAGCCAACTTATCCAGCATATGTTTTATGCACCAGATACCCTTCCAGCTGCAACCCATCACTGGGAAACATCCATACACACTCATTCACACACACATACACTACAAACAATTTAGCTTATCCAAATTCACCTAAAGCGCATGTGTTTGGACTTGTGGGGGAAACTGGAGTGCACGGACTAAACCCACGCAAACACGGGGAGAACGTGCAAACTCCACAAAGAAACGCCAACTCATTCAGTTGAGGCTCGAACCAGCGACCTTCTTGCTGTGAGGCAATCGTGCTACCCACTGTGCCTATATTGAATTATATTATTCAAAACGATTATATTATATTACACAAGATTAAATGTAAAAATCAGTGGTGTAAATATTTAAAATCCATTTTGTCACTGGTCATCCTCCTTAATTCATAATGTTAAATCTGACTCCAATTACCCCTGTTATATTTCACCCAAGAATTGTCACTCAGCATGTTAATTTGTCTAACAATGTGTGAATATGATGATTATTGTGGGTCCTAAACAAATATCCTTGTCCATTTAGGTGTCTCAGTAGGGTCTCTTCCTGTCTGGGTCTTGAGCAACATACAAAGCAACACAATCCTGTGACCGTTGCCATTTATACCTAAAAAGTTCACACACAAGCACACACAAGCACACACACACACACACACACACAAGGTGGTTAAGCACACAACAGCTTTTATTCACATTGATGTAAATGTTTGTTCATGTGTTTTTCATGTCAGATTTCCCATCAAAAACAGTGACATCGGCCCAATTCCAAATGTTATTTTCAGTCAAAATTCATTTCACACAGCATGATTTGAATCGCCTACAGCTCCAGATATTTAGCACACCAAATATCTCACAGGCATCGGTGATTCTCTCAGATCGCGTCTTTGATAGTTCATACTGTGTGATTGGCACAAGCACAGATTTGCCTGTGATTTTAGGCATTTGTCAGCGATTTCTCAAAGCCTGTCAGCGAGTCAAAATCTGGGCTGAAATCATGCAGTCTGGACTCGGCATAAGAGGGAAGGGGTAGATCGTCCTCGAAAGAAAGATTTTTCAGGACCACACTCGAAATCAAAGGGGTCAGAAACGCAGAATTCACCAGCCACAATGGCAGTATAGCTGCACGCGGAAGTAAAGAGATCCACAAATTAGTATTTAAAGCTGCTGTATAGGCTATTTCTGTCCGTTCGCATCCTGTCCCTTTGTTCCCCCTGGCGGTTTATTCACAAACTGCAGTCATACACTAAAAACAGAGCAGCAGCAATTTCAAACGGCGGCGGTATAAGCCCCGGCGGTAATAGTCACTTTAAACTCTCACCTACTGTATGTTTTGTCATTATTACGTTTGTTTTTTTTTTTTTTTTTTTTTTACAACAAACAAGCATGTTTTAATATATTCATAATGGCTATTCATATTTTTCATAATAAAAGTTTTACCGTCATGCTTAAAAAAAATAAATAAATAAAAGCCGCTAGATGTCGCTGTCTATAATCCCTAATAATAACTCCTGTACAGCAGTCCCACAACATTCTGACTCTCGATGACACTCGAATCCCTTGTCAGAAAAGTCTAGTGGCTGGGAATGACCTTTTTACAGTGTCTGCTATAATGTTTATGATGTTTTTGGTGTGTTTACGTAGATAAATATGACTACGATCTTATTGCCACATTAGATCATTATAATAACATAATATACGCCTTTAGTGATTTCCTGAAGATTAATACCAATAACTACAGCAGTCGCGATCGTCTGATCTCATATGAAGCAGGAGATCGCGATGACATATGATGGCGTGTGCAGGTGCTGTCCCATTTCTTAGGGGTAAATTTTGAAGCCTTTCCTCTAAACACTTGTATTTAAGGGCCAAGAGGAAAAGGAAGGGGTACAAAAACAGAATTGGGATTAGGCCACAGTCATTTAGCCTTTATTCATTTGATTTGTTAATTAAAACCTTGTTTGTGTACAAATGAATAGCATGCTTACTCTGTCTCTCCAAAAATAAGAAGACAATCCCCAGCAGACAAGCTGTACTCTTTACCATTCATGAAGACGTTGGACAACCCTTCCTAAAAATGCAATAAAACATAGGAAACATAAAAAATGCATCCTATAAACCATTTGTTAAGCATTAGCAAATAGTTAATTCATAATTTATTAGGCATTAACCCTATTAACCCTACTGACATTACAGTTTATTAGGATTGTTTTCCCACAAATTTCTCTGGTGTCAATTTCTAAAACTCTAGACACAAAATTCACAACCATTGCCAAAATTGTTCATTATAACAGTTCATATCAATTTTACATAAATTAAAATATGTCATACATGTCAAAATACTGCCATTTTTCAACTACTAGATTTACAAATATGTACATATTTGTTTCATAAATATATGATCTATTACAGTTTTTTTTCAATCATTTTGGCAAATTTCAGAAACCTACTGTCAATTTTCAAAACTCTAGACACAAAATTAACAACCATTGCAAAAATTGCACACCATCCACCCACTGCTTTGCACCGTCTCATCTCTGTCAAGAATAACTTTAATCAGCTCAAAGCAGGAGAGACAGCCAGAGAAAGCAGACCTTCGGCACATCAGAAAAGCATTCTACCACAAACTCCAGAGCATTTACCCACAATTCATTGAGTTAGACAATAAAACACAACCTCAAAATATATTGGGGGAAAAAACTGATTGTAGCCATCTAGCGGCATGATACTGTACATTTACACCTGTCTCAAAAAGAGAGAGCAGACCAATAAAAACATAAGTGATGCGCTTGCAAACACACACACACACACACACACACACACACACACACACACACACACACACACACACACACACACGCACACAGAGAGATAAATTTGTATTTTACCAGCTGCCAGATCCAGCCGTCAGTTCGTCTTTTATTTGCAGATGTTCCAGATCCAAACAGCAGTGTCTAAAAGGCAGAAAGTGTCAGTCAGCTTATTCATTACTTCCATAACTTGGTTCTAGACAAAGCCTAACTACATTAATAGCTCAATAATATAACAACACATACATTAAAATGTGGCTGCATTCCTCTAGATAAAAAAAAACAGCAATCCTCAATGGTGATAACAGTTTCAGTTTTACACTATACAATAAATTACATTAAGGTTTCTAATCGTATCCATCAATGATTGCAGTTTTTTTTACAGACGCTAGGACACATTTCTCAACACTTACTGTAGGTCACTTTCGCAAAAATTCCAAAATGCACTACAACTACCAAAACACTTTATTCAGGTCTCAAATAAACTCATTCTTCTGGAACACTAGCAAAGCAAACACACTTTGTCACCCACAAAACAATGACCTAAAAACACTAACAACATGCAGCAATACACAGTGTTTACCTGTGTAAAACAAGGACACATCTCTGTTTATAATTGCAATATGTAAAGCTTCACAAACTAATTTCGAGAGTAGTACCTGATATGATTGACCGCAGCTGGTCTCTCATTTACAATCATTAGTTAGCCAATCAGATTGATTCAAACTCACTATAAGTAACCTAGCAAAAAATTACTCCCTTATCTTCGTTTTCCGAAGAAACCCCCCATCCACCCCCTTTCTTCCTTTACTACGGGGAGCTCTCGAGAACTACCTGATCTTATACTCCCCTTACATGCTCAATTATCTCCGAGCTCAGGGTTCTTTCCCAGCATGCTAAACCTGCTAACATTTGTCAAACAATATCTAAGTGTGAACTGAATGGTTTATAACAGCAATATATGTTACTGGAATAAATATTTTTTTGTAATTCCAAAATACAAGAATTTGTATACACACCATCCACTGATACAGATACAGCAGTAATGCTAATCAGTCTGGTTAAACTGCATTTTTAGATTTGAAATATGTTTCAATAAAATATTACTGTTGAATTTTGCTGTCTTATTCAGTTTTGCATTATGTTATTAATGTTAAACGATGTTAACATATGTTATATGTTGTTTTGAACTTAAGTTAGTAAAGATGCAAAGGAAATAATGCTTTGTCTTTGAGTCAGACTCAGTTCATCAGGTGGAATGCCAAACAAAGTAAATCCTGCACATGGCTTGAGCTGTACTTCACACACTTTAGACAATTCTTTTCTCTCTCAGACACAACAACGGCCAAAAATCTTTGTACGTGCATGACATTTTGCATTTGCTTACATACTGTTTTGAAACTATTGAACTTAGGTTCATTGGCACCTCCATAGAGTGATGAAACTATGACGTCACCTTGTAGGCTAATCAGCTGCTAGCATAAAACTGGTTCCATCGAAAAAATTTCTATAGGATTTTCCCATAGGCTTACTGCAAACAATAAGCTCTGTGTTCAAACACTGTTCATTACACTTAGATTTTATGTGGGAAATACATTACAGTTTTGCTTTACTGTTGTTGTAAAAGTTGTAAAACTGTATGTATAAATGTGCCTATATAGTATTATCATAGGACATATTTAAATAAGTGTATCGCTCGCGTTCATACAGCCCGCTTACCTTAGTAATAGACGACAGAAATGAGGCATGAGGGACAAGCCAATCAAACGCCTGCAAATTCCATCATGGATCGAGAACAACATACAATATTCTTTTTATTCAATTCAGCTTTATTTGTATAGCGCTTTTACCATGTAGATTGTGTCAAAGCAGCTTTACATAAATGGTCATAGCAATTGGAACAGGGTAGTTCAGTTTTTAGTGTTTAAGTTCAGTTCAGTTTAGCTCAGTTCAGTGTGGTTTAAAATCATTACTTTGAGTCCAAACACTGAAGAGCAAATTCATCGATGTGTAGCTCTACCGATCCCAAACCATGCAAGCCAGTGGCGACAGCAGAGAGGGAAAAAAAACTTTACTGAGACGAGTGAAGAAAAAAAAACCTTGAGAGAACCCAGACTCAGTTGGGCATGACCATTTTAATTTCTCTGCTGGCCAAAGTCTTGTGCAGAGCTGCAGTCACCGCAGTGAAGGCTGGAAGCTGGCCTCAGCGAAGACTAGTCTGTCCCTGGAGCGTCACCGGAATCAGTCTCATGCTCTCCACTCCTCCATGACCTTATGTCACGAAGTACAGCGAAAAACAGCCCATACAGTCACATCTGCTATAGATTTTAAGGAGGAGTGTAAATATTGCAGGTATGACAGAGTTAAATGTGTTCAGATAAAGAAAAAAAATGACAAAAAAATAAACTGATCGCATTAAAAGGAATATTTTAATTATGTATTTTTACACATTTATTCACACGTTTGCATTACTGAGAGCAGGAAAGAGACAGGCTGCCCTGGTAAGCTGTAGCTTCATATTATCGTTTAATTAAAATAAAAGATCAACACATTAATCTTGACAGTCTTTACAAGTAAAGGAATGATCTACACACAATATGAATTCCCAATTTGAAAAATACTACAAACTGAAATACTACTCATGAAAATACTTAAATAACACACAATTCCAAATGTCCAATGTAAACTGTCTACGCTCCAGACCAGCTCAGCTCGATGATGTATAATGTCTCCGACAACATCTGTAGTCCCATGTAAGCAACTTGATAGCAACAGTCTTTTTAAAGAGGAGTAACCGGTTAAAGAATTAAGAGTGTGATGTAACTGATGTGTTTTATGTTGTAGAATAAAACGTAAAAGTATCTTGAGTTTGTGTTAGCCATGAACCATATTTAAGCGATTTAACTGAAATCCCATTGAAAAAACCCATTGACTTTGGGACGAGGGAACCGGAACTGCTAAAATGCTAGCTCGCTTCCAGGTTTTTGCATACAAATTGACGTCATAGTTCCAAACAACAAACTTGTGCGATCTCCATCAGTTGATCTTCTAAAGCCATGGTAGATTTGCTTGATTTGCTAACAACCTTAAGTTAGCAAAGAAACTTTCCAGAGTGGTCTGTTTCTTGCAAATTTTTTGCTGGTTTTGGGCACTCAAGTGATCAAGATGTAACCGTGAGAATACGGTTATTTTCCAAAATAAAAGACTTTTCGAAATAAAACATCGTTCAGACTCAGACAATAAATAAAATGGAAATAATTAATGATTTCTTGTGCGTCCCGGTACCTATTGATCCATGGACTGGTGGTTGAGGACCACTGAGCTTGGGGATAAAATGACTTAAGGCAATATAATAATTCTTATAATTGTCCACTGCTAAGAATTTCTTTAAATATGATGCAACCCCCTACAAAACTCGCTAAGGCCCCCTTGTGGGCCGGGACCATCTGTTTGGGAACTTCTGAAAGAGTAGACTGAACAACACTACATTTATAATTTATATATTAATAATAATAATAATTCCTTACATTTATATAGCGCTTTTTCTGGGCACTCAAAGCACTTTACACACAATGGGGGGATCTCCTCATCCACCACCAGTGTGCAGCATCTACCCGGATGACGCGATGGCAGCCATTTTGCGCCAGACCGAACACCACACACCAGCTGATTGGTGGAGAGGAGACAGCGATGAAGCCAATTGGAATATGGGGATGGTTAGGAGACCATGATAGACAAAGGCCAGTGGGCAGATTTGGCCAGGATGCGGGGGTTAAACCCCTACTCTTTTCAAAGGACATCCTGGGATTTTTAACGACCACAGAGAGTCGGGACCTCGGTTTAACGTCTCATCCGAAAGACGGCGCTCACTGAGCAGTATAGCGTCCTCGTCACTATACTGGGGCATTAGGACCCACACAGACCGCAGGTTGGTGACTTCAGTGGGCGACCATGTGAGAGTTGCAGAGAGCTAGCTGCCGGCAATTAATAGATCCAGTAAACAATTTCATAGCTAAACCTGCAGTGTGTAGAATTATCTCTTTATAGAATTACTAGTTCAGAAACACTGATCTGTATTTTTATATTTTCCCTGTTCTTTGTCATGGTTATATTGGACAGACAAACTTTCTTCTATGCATTTGTTTGATCCTTGCTGATTAAAAATAACTCACAGTCAGAAAATTAATGGCGTGCTTCTCGTCTGACTGTTTAGCACACTTTCTTCTCACCTCAGTCTCAAACTGTTCTCCGAACATATCCACTGGACAACCGCTGGCAAGGACAGGCTTCTGCTTTTCCACCCACTCTCTGAAGCTGAATGGTGTCATCACATTCATTGTGTTGAGCGGGTATGGGGCTGGCTTTATGGGATTCGCTGCAATAATTAAATAGTTACTGGATGAACAGATTTATTACATAAATAAATAAATAAATATGTACAAGTTAGCAGTTTGCATTGGATATTTAATATGAACGTAACTACCTGGATCAGGTTTTCCTGTTTCATTCTCTTTGGAATCCAGAAACCTAAAAAAAAATCCAACTTGTTATTTGCAACCACATGTTTCTGCACAGTCTTAGAGGAAACAGAGGCAGGACATATGTACAGTTGAAAAAAGTTTACATACACTATAAAAAGGCACATAACCATTTAAACAAAAGTCAGATGTAAACGTGACTAAACTTTTTCTCTTTTAGGTAAGTTGGGATTATCACATTTGTTTCTGTTGCGCTTAATAGCAGAATAATGAGAGAAATTTTTTGAGAAATTGTTGTAACTTTTCTTGAAAGTCAAGTTTACATACAGTAAGATTATTATGCAAGTTTGGCCAATTTCGCTCGCCCAACATTCTACAGTCTCAAATACAGAGAGACGTGAATCACAATACTTTCATTTCACAAAAGAGACACAAAATGGAATATTTCACTTAATACACTTTTAGATTTAAATGATCATGTATATATTTAAAATGCACTGCTTTAAATACTCAACTGTATGAAACTTTGTTTATTAATGTTTATACATGAATGCTTAGGCAAAGATCAACATTACATAGGTATGTTTAGACCCTATATATTGGAAACAATGCCTTGGGTAAATTAGATGTGTTTTGGAAAGTCAATTATGCATCAGAAAATATTTAAGACTCTATAATATAATAGTTTAACTGTGAACTATGACTATGCAAATGCAAATGCCGGCCACACTATGGATGACACCTTCCAGTGACCAACTCACAGGATCATCCAATCACAATGCTGGATTTGAAAGGTGACATCTTTTGAATCCCGCCTTTCAGAGAAAGGATAAAAACATTCTCTCAGAGAAGAAAGTGGAGTAGTGTTGAAACTAAAAAGAGTAATGATATGTGTGGTACACGCAAAATAGGAAGATGAAGTAACTCAGAGAAGAGTGGTGGTATCAGGAAGAGAATTGTGTGGAGGCCTGATACACAAGGCTACTCGAATTGCTCAAAGACTTCAGAACTTTGCTGCGTGTTCCAGCAAGGCTTTTCATGGTGATTGGAATCACAGTGCTTTTTTCAAGGTGTCTGGAACCATAGCTTCACGATTCATCTCCAGAAATCTGTGTGTCCCAGATTTCCAGGAAATCAACCTTCAAGGATAAAAACGTCACCGTGCCCCTGACATCAGAACTACCACCTACAGAAATCTGTGTGTCCTAGATTTCCAGAAACTCAACCTTCAAGGATAAAGACGTCAGCTTGTCCCCGACACCAGAACTACCAAATCCAGAAATCTGTGTGTCCCAGATTTTCAGGAACCCAACCTTCAAGAAAAAGGACGTTGACAGTTCTGCGTGTTCCAGAATCTCCAGATTTCTTCTTCTTAAAGCTCAAGAGAGCTAAGTCTGCTTGTTCCATGCTTCAAGAGCTGCAAGAAGATCCAACTTCCAACCACTGCATCAACGGCAGAAACGTAAATATTCCACTTTCCAATCCTCTAAGAGAGACCTTGGCATAGTGTGTTTCAGTATAAAATTATCTAATTAATTAGATGTTTATAACTGATATTCATTAATAACAAAAACTTCCTCAGCTCTTTGTTATTTTAGAATAAGTTTACCTTGTCAGTCTCTAGCTTGTCTTTAGAAAAGATAACAGAGTTATTGATCACAATCTTTAACTTAATCACCTTCATGATTCGCCCATGCACTTCATTTATTGTACATTTAGTAATATTAGTTTTCCTTGTTTACTCTTTTGTTAATAAATACACATTTATTACAATCGTGTCTTCCTTGTGTTGGTATTACAGTAAAAGGTTCTTCTAGTCAGACAATCTTATTATCCTTCAGATTTGGCCAGATAATAATCCCCTTTACATTTGTATATTTCAATTAACATTATTTGATTGTTTATTATTTTGACAGTCGAAGCTGTCTGGTGGCCTGTTTAAAATGAATCATTGTTATTTCTACATTGATTGGTGCCCTCGTGCGAGGCTAAAATATCAAAATTAATATCAATACCAAAATATTGATGTTAATATTTGATAAATCCAATTATCACTACAATGAAGAACCAATTTCATGTGATGATGCATCAAACACATCATCATAAAAACACAAAAATATTTTGCAACTTCTTCGAAAATGCTGTAAGCTGAGAAAATATAATGTACTATTTCTTCAATGCTAATGAAGGACAACTGGAATATGCCAATCTAAGGAGTCCTTCAGATGTGGCTCACAGCTCCATTACAGAGTTTCTCACAGCTCCATTACACATCACTGCCATTTGCTTTACAGAAATCATGTGCCTTTCACCATACACAATTCATCTACTTGTGAACTTTGTCTTGTTTGATGATATTTGACAGATTATGGCCTGAAGTATGTATGTTAATTGTTTTAGGAAAATACGTTTATTTTTTTATACTACTGTTGTCTCTCTTTGTATTTGTAATTGTATTTGTATTGCTTAAGGTAATATATATTAACCAAACTTCTTGTCTGAGTGTGATACGCCTTGCATACTAATTAAGCATTTTTGCAGAAGTTGATGAAGCTGATAGAAATGCAAAGGCCTAAACTTGAGCTCTGCAGCTAAACTTCCTGTGAGCAAATATTTACTTCCTGTCAATATTTGCAGTTGGGAAGTCTTATGCTTTTAACATTGTGCAGAGAATGTATAGAAAAAAGAGAAAGTATGTATGGATGCCACTGCCAGAGGACTGGAGAATGACGAATTCCACTAAACCCCACCTGTTAATATCAGCTGTGTCTAAAAGCTTGAGCCAGGAAATGGTTGCGGACATCCTGAATGTGATTCTTGCCTTGCATTGATGATACCAAAACTCTGTGAATCTAATTATTCATTCTTATCCAATAAATTACTAATATTTTTGACATTGAAGAAACCCCTCTCCTGACCTTTTTTTATTGAACACGCATGGAATTGATCAAATATTCGAACTTAACATATTTCTCCCGCCATTTTATCTCCTCGCTTTACTTTCATGCTCCGCTGGTTTTGGGGGTTGGTATTTCCTTAATATTTGACAATGTTTTGCTCAGGGTAAGAGAAGGAATGGTCACTATTGATCGGGGAGAATGGCTTTTCTTCTGCTTCTCCTGTACACCGGTGCATAGCCTCATCCATTAAAAAAGGCAGTTAACTTTCGTTTTGTTACACATCAGTGCATATGTTCTGCATATGAAATGTATTTCAAACTCTGCTGGGTTACCTTTAGTACGACAGCAAGGGAATTATTATCAGTAATGTGAAAAGCAGCACCACAACATTATGAACATAATCTGAAGTGAACGATAACATACATTATTGAAAAACTGGACAATACCAACAGCTTAAAGTGACATTTAAAGGCTTAACTAGGTTAATTAGGCAAGTTATTGTATAATGATGGTTTGTTCTTTCAGCTATCGAAAAAATATATATATAGCTTAAAGGGGCTAATAAATTTTACCTTAAAATTGTGTTTTAAAAATGTAAAACTTTTATTCAAGCCGAGATTAAACAAATAAGACTTTCTACAGAAGAAAAAATATTATCAGGCGTACTGTAAAAATTTCCTTCATTCATTCATTCATTTTCTTGTCGTCTTAGTCCCTTTATTAATCCGGGGTTGCCAAAGCAGAATGAACTGCCATCTTATCCAGCAAGTTTTTTACGCAGCGGATGCCCTTCCAGCCGCAACCCATCTCTGGGAAACATCCACACACACATTCACACAGACACATTCATACACTACGGACAATTTAGTCTACCCAATTCACCTGTACCACATGTCTTTGGACTGTGGGGGAAACTGGAGCACCCGGAGGAAACCCACGCGAAAGCAGGGAGAACATGCAAACTCCACACAGAAACACCAACTGAGCTGAGGTTCGAACCAGCGACCCAGCGACCTTCTTGCTGAGGTGACAGCACTACCTACTGTGCCACTGCCTCACCCCACTGTAAAAATTTGCTCTGTTAAACATCATTTGGGAAATATTAAAAAAAGAAAAAAATCAATGGGGGGCTAATAATTCTTGAAATGGGGGGCTTAAAACTTCAACTATGTTTTTTTTTCTTTTTATTATGCCTGCTATAACATACAGTAACAGAAGCCAACGTGAGGTAGTTAAAGGGCCCTACTGTATAAAGCAAACACTGTTCACATCAATGGTTATGTCTAAGAAAATAATTATTTTGAGAAAATTTCAGAAGACATCTGACTCAAGCAGGTTAGTAATCAGTGAAGCTGCTGATACTGTTTGTTGAGTTGTTTAATGATCCTCTGCTGAAATGTTGAGATTGAATGCGTTTGATTTCTTTTAAGGCTGTGACTGAAGTCAGCTGTAGTTTTGTGTTTCTCTTCAGTAATTCTGCTTGTTAACAGCAGGTGTTCATCATTAATGCTCAATCAACACTTACTTAATCACTTAATTAACTCATTACTTCAACTTAAATAGGGGAAGTTCACATTACTCATATAGATTCGTTTTTAAACTGAAATGGTTTGTAGCAACCGGTTTCCTCGAACGGTTTGAGCTGCCTTAACTTATTGGGTTTTACAGTACTCAATTGTTTTGAGTTCCTTTCATTTATTGGATTTTACTGTGCTCAAAAAGCGGCATTTACTCAAATGGATTAAGTTCACAGTACTCATTGGGATTAATGTTTGAACTTAAATGGTTGTTGCAATTGGTTTTCTCAAATGGTTTGAGTTACCTTAACTTATTGGGTTTTACAGTGTAGAAGAATACTTTATAAATATTGCAGAACAAAACATTCCAGCTAAAAACACGTCTCTTATTTATACAAAAGATTAGTAACTAATATTGTACAAAATGCACATTATGGTAAAGGAAAATGGGAACTAGAACAAAGTACCACAATTGAGGATGAGGTCTGGATTGAGTTATGTGAAGGATGTCATAAAGGAATTAATAGTCAATTATGGAAAATATTTGATTGGAAGGTAAAAATTAAGAACTTTAATACTCCTTTTGTAAAAGGACCATCTGATGCTTTGTGTCGGAGAAGATGTGGTAAAATCGGAGATCATACCCACGTTTTTTGATACTGCCCTAAGATTAGAGAATTTTGGAAAAATGTTAAAAAAAGAAATAGTTAAGATATTAGATATAGAAATACTCCTCAATCCAGGTGTGTGCTTATTGGGAGCACTGTCCAAAGAAATGTTTAATGAAGAAACAAGATTTGTACTAAGGATATTCTGATTGCTAAAAAATTATAACAGTATATTGAATGATAAAAGGTTCCCCAAAGATGGCTCAGTGGATTCAGAAACTTAAACAGGTCTTTGTAATGGAAAAAATGACTGCAAATAAAGACTGACATTTTTCTAAAGAGGTAGAGGCACATTTTTACAAATGTACATCTAGAGATTAATTAACCTAACACCAATGCAATCTGAGGTAACTACACTGTAGCACAATCTAACTTGATGTACAAATGTATCCCCTGCAAAGTATTTATGATGTCAGTACCTTTAATTTCTTTATTTTGCATTATTTTTCTTATGGGCGAAGCAGTGGCGCAGTAGGTAGTGCTGTCGCCTCACAGCAAGAAGGTCGCTGAGTCGCTGGTTCGAGCCTCGGCTCAGTTGACGTTTCTGTGTGGAGTTTGCATGTTCTCCCTGCGTTCTCGTGGGTTTCCTCCGAGTGCTCAGTTTCCCCCACAGTTTAATGTTATGCGGTACAGGTGAATTGGGTTGCCTAATTTGTCCGTAGTGTATGAGTGTGAGTGTGTGTGTGAATGTTTTCCAGGGATGGGTTGCGGCTGGAAGGGCATTTGCTGCATAAAAAACTTGCTGGATAAGTTCATTCCGCTGTGGCGAACCCGGATTAATAAAGGGACTAAGCCGACAAGAAAATGAATGAATGAATTATTTTTCTTATTTTATGTTAAAACTTTTATACTATGTTTTGTTTTCCCATTTATTCCCTCGTCTGTAAGGGGTTAAACCCCTTAACTGTCTGCCACAAAATTAGAATTTACAATTCAGAATTGTATGTAATATATGCATATTATACATTAATGTACTAAAAATGTCCTGTATGACAGTTTAAGGAAAGCAAAAACAAACTTATTAAGAGAAACACTGGTTACTTACTCTTTGATGATGGGAACAAGTTGGGTTCCAAGATTTTCACAGTAGAACCAGCGCTCAAACAAGACTTCCGTACTATTCGCCACAAAGTATCTAGAGTAAAGAAAAGTAATCAGAGTAAAGACAACTCTGTAACACTTTACAATATGGGTGCAGAAATATGGAATACATAAGGCTCAAACAATGCACAGATAATTATGAGTTAATGTATAACTGATGATGAGCTTAACAATTTATTAATCAATACTGCATTAACAACAGGCTGATATGCATGCAAGGTCAAAAAACACTTTCATTGCCTTATAATATGTATTTATTTTTGCACAATTATCCCAAAGACCGCTATATGATTTGTTCAGCGAATATTTGTTTATCTTTATGTGAAGCTAATCCTCATTCATTCATTCATTTTCAACTGCTTTTCCAGGGCCAGGTCACGGGGGCAGCAGTCTTAGGAGAGAACCCCAGACTTCCCTCTCCCCGGACACTTCCTCCAGCTCCTCCGGGGGATCCCGAGGCGTTCCCGGGCCAGCCGAGAGACATAGTCCCTCCAGTACCTCCCTAGGTAGGCATCCAGGAGGCATCTGAAACCGATGCCCGAGCCACCTCAGCTGACTTCTCTCGATGTGAGGAGCAACAGCTCTACTCCGAGCTCCTCCCGGGTAAAATTTCCATGACCCACAGCTCCTGCCGCAACACCAATCCGCCTGTCAATCTAACATTCCATCCTTCCCTCACTCGTGAACAAAACCCCGAGATGTGGAGGAGTGAAGCTAATCTGTGATGATTTTTCTAGTGATAGTCTAGATTGTTTTTACATTTTTTACGGTTTACTTGTTTTTACTCAAGTTCTCTGCAACATAGATTGCTGTTGAACTATATTGTACTGTATTTGAACTGTGTTTATATACTGTATTGCAATTTTGCAGTTGTACCTAATTCTACTGCATTTATACTTCTATATACTGCTATTGTATTGCAGTTGTACTGAAGTTTTACTTAAGTTTACTGCAGTTATTTTTTTTCGCGGGTACAAAGACATGCAGTATACTGTAGGTCACAGGTGTCAAACTCAGTTCCAAAAGGGCCGCAGGTCTGCACAGTTTAGTTCCAACCCTAATTAAACACACCTGATCAAACTAATTGAGTCCTTCAGGCTTGTTTGAAACCTACAGGAAAGTGTGTTGGAGCAGGGTTGGAACTAAACTGTGCTGGGCTTCGGCCCTCCAGGAATTGAGTTTGACACTCCTGCTGTAGGTGAATTGGATAAATTACAATTGGCAGTAGTGTGTGTGAATGAGAGAGTGTGTTTACAAGTTAGATGCTTTAGTTTTAAACACGCTTTAGTTTTAGAATCAGGGGCGGATTGGCCATCTGACAATTCTGGCAAATGCCAGAAGAGCCGGACCATTTTTTAAATGTGGGCCGGTCAGTTTTTTTATTTTTATTTATTTATTTTTTATGTATTGTTTTTACATGACGGCAGATTTTATCTCTTACAAGATGTGAATATGATGATGAAGATGATGATGATGATAGTAATAATAATAACATTAATAATAATAAATGTTAAGCATTTGGCCCAAACCGCGAAGGCCGGCTGGTTTTAAGATGGGGCGACCCAATCCGACCCAATCAGAGGTTACGCTGACGTAATCAAAATCTGGCAAGAATGTCAAACCAACAGTAAGTGCTAATTTTCAGAGATGGACCGTAAAAAGGGAAAAGGTGGTGCCGAAAAGCTCTGAGAAAGCAGTAAAGGACTCCAAATCAGATGCTGACAAATGCATAAAATTACCTAAATTATTCTCGAAAGATTTAAATTGGGCTGATGCATCGGAGGACAGTAGCGCGATAGAGGAGGTAAGAAGAAAACAGAAAATATACTTCTAAGTCATTATACTAAAATATACTAAGTAATTTTCACGCCCTTCACACTACTTCTTGACAGTAACCTACACTGTGTTTAACAGTTGTAAGCTTAGCATTAAACACCCTGAATGTCATTATTAGCAGATAATGTGGAATTTAGGGTGTATAGACTGTATTTTACCTGTAAATTAGTTATAAATGGGTTGTTTTTGCTCCAGTCACATACATTAAAGGTTTAAATATCTATTACATATAGTACTGCTTATATTATTACACCATTTGTGCACCAATATAAGTAGTGAATGTGCGTTTTCGTGGATAGGTCTGTGTCGGTGTGGTAATGTGGGCTAAGTTTTGCTACGGTTACGCCTTCCGTCCACACTACCCTGGAGTTTTCGAGCCATGAAAACAAAGTGTTTTGGAAACGCTGAAGCGGCCGTTTTGGTTTTAAAACACTGCTGCTCCATGTCAGTGTGGATAAGAGAAAAGGAGCCATCTGAAAACGGAGGTGGGGCTGCTGATCTGGGCTTTTTCCTCAATGGCTAGTGCAAAAAGTTCAGTCATGCACCCTTTCCATAAGTTCAGACTTTGCAAGCTTGCTATAGGACCTCTCAAGGACAGGTCGGGTAAATCTTCAAAGGGAACAGAACTTTATAGCATCATTCACATCACCCTGGCAACGTTGTTTCACTTTCTTAACAATAAAATGAAAACATGATATAAGGAACTTGCTATTTTCATTTGATATTTGCAACTTCACAAACACCAAAAGTGTTGAGGCATCGTGTAGCTACATATTTAAATGACCAGTAGATCCAGTAGACCAAAGCACCGGTATCCTGACATTTTATCCTCTCCATCAGATTATGCTACCAACACTGTATTTGAATGGTTCTGATGTTGAGGTTAGAGATTAGGTAGGTTAGGGCGATATATAAATCCGGATTTAGGGCTTCATATCACTCTACTCCACATTAAAATATACACTGGTGGCAAAATCTGATGGGTAGCATATTGCGTCATCAAAATGTGCTACCTACTTTTTGAATGGGAGGTAGGACAATCTGACAAGGTAGTACAAATCACAAGAAACACCGGCTTACTGCCTGGGGCTTAGCAAACGCTGCAGCGCATGCCAGAGTTTGCGTGTGGTCATGTGATGTGCGATTTCAGCGGTGTAGGTGTGAACGGAGAGCTGTTCAGAATCGATAGGTAAAACTTCAGTGTGGATCGATTTCATTCTAAAACGCTGTTTTAAAATGAAAATGTATTAGTGTAAATGGGACCTCGGTGGATTGCTGCTGAAAGGGCATACATAAAACACATGTCATATGTGAAATTGCAGACAAAAGCTCAAAATCAAGATTAAATCTGTGCTTGTTTATGCAAGCAATAAGCAAACGACAATCGCACAGTGTAAGTTATCAAAAAAGGATCAGAGAACTGATTGACGTGTCATTGTAGCCTGTGAAATATCTGGCAAGTACATATCAGCATTGACTAGGCCCACACGGAATCTGCGCACGCAGAATTCTGCAGATTTTTAGCCCATCATTGATTCTGTTTATTTTCTTGTGTATATTTATTCAGTTGATTAATTAATTTCAGTAATATTATTGACAAATATGAAAATATTTATATGATTTATTTACAATACAGTTTGTAAAGTAATATTTTCTGTCTTTTAGTATATATATATCATATAAGAGACTTGCTTTATTTACCAAATAAGTGAATCTAATTGTATTTGCATTGTAAACAATACAAGTAAATACAAAAAAAAAATACAAGTTAAAAATGTATTACTTTTTATTTCATATATTAAGATTTTAGTTATGATACTCCTAAAATCATTCAACATAAATCCACAGACTTTTAACAAAATTCTCTGCAGAAATAGCAAAAAATGTCTGCAGATTCCATCTGGCCCTAGCAATGACCAACAGCCAATGAGAGAGCAGGATACAGGTCAGTGAAGACTTGGTTATCTCAGACTTGACACGAGATGACTCGCGGTCTTGGTCAGGCCGTTATTTCCTGCCACTATTTTTGTGTTCTTGGTGTGTGTGTGTGTGTGTGTGTACGTGTTTTTGTGATATATCAGGACACAAATCTGTATAATGACATGGGTATGACACAGGTATTAAAAAAAAAGAGGTGAAATATGAGGACATTGGTGACGTCCTCATTTTTCATAATGCTTATAAATCCAACAGAATGAGTTTAATCAGAGAGTAAAGCTGCACACTGTCTCCTGTGATGGTTGGGTTTAGGGGTAGGGTGGGGTGAGGGCAATACAAAATAGGGTTTGGACAGTATAAAATGGATGGAAACTTATGTAATGTACCCACTTTTCACAAAAACAACCATGTGTGTGTGTGTTTTTTAAATCATTACTTAATTAGCCTAATTGGGTGGAAAGCTATGCCATAATTAGATATAAAGAGTTCAGATGCAAAAACCAGTGCCTTCTGGAATTTTCTTCTATAATGAGTATTTTTTCTCTGCCTCTTATGTTTATATTCAGTTATTTCATGTTCAAATTGCTGAAATTAACCTATGCATTGCCATTATAGTGAAATTACTAAATCAAGACACAGGAGTCTAAGGAAAATGCACATTTTAGAAGAAAGTTTCAGGTGGCATTTAGAGGTTTTTGCATCCAAACTCTTCATATATTATACAAATATTTTAGCAAAGTCAGCCTAAGCAACACGTGTGGGTCTACAAAGTTGCACAATTGGCAACATGTGCCATGCACAGCAACACTCTAGCTCCTGCAACAGCATCTCCTCCACTGGCACACATTCATACCGCACATGCAAGCAGAGCTGGAGCAGCACGTGCGCAGCGCATATGCAGAGCAGAAACAGTGCATAAAATTCAGTCGATCTTATTGATGCATTTATTAGGTAAAATTGTACTTTTTGCTGTCATTAAATGTGTCGTTGGTCATTACCAATGCACTGTCACTTTAATTGAGCGTGAGCAGTGGTAAAAACAGACCCAGCACCCAACAAATTGTGGCACTGCTGTTTCAGCTCTGCTCATGCTCCACACTGACGCCCTGTTTCTGTGTGCGGTATGAAAGATGTAATCTGTCAACATGGACGCCGAAAAAAACACACGCTGCTCAGGCCCTGCTCACACATGCAGTATGAAAGAGGTGATAGCAAAAAATGGGGACTTCCGCAATGAACAGACACATGAAGCAGGCTTGCCATGGCAGAAAGGATAATAGTCAGGCCTCAATGTCCTCTACGATCCATTCTGAATAAACACACAATGCAATTTACATGCTTCATCCTTGTTGCATTATCCATCAATAAAAATCTAAACTAATTTCTGTAGTTCAAACTATTCAGAATTGTAGATTAGAACATCAGCTATAAAGGCAGCACACGTATTCAAAAAAAGTTTTGCACAGGGAGAACATGCAAACTCCACACAGACACGCCAACTGACTCAGCCAAGGCTCGAACCAGCGACCTTCTTTCTATGAGGTGATTGTGCTACCCACTGCACCACCGTGCTGCCCCACATTGTATTTTTTTAACTAAATAAAAACTGAAGTTCTCGATGGTGTTAAAGGTCCCTTTTAAAACTGATAATAGTCACATCAATCCATCGCCGGAAGATTTCAGTGGCTGAACAACCCTTCCGTGCATATAATCCATTCATAACAACAACATCTATATAGTATAACCTTTGGTAAATAATATCTGTATTTTCAAAATTGCATAAAGGCAGTCACGCATATTTACAGTAATTATTATTTTTTAAACCACAAGTAAATGTGATAATGAGGTGATCAAACGAGAACTTGAGAAGCTGAAACTGCGTCCCTGGATCAGGATTGTCAGCCACAAAACATGACAGAAAAGTGGGCTCTTCTTGAAGATTAGATTAATGACACATTTAAAGGGCCACGAAACTCCAAAACACATGTTTTAAGCTGTTGACAGTCGTATATGTGTCCCACACTGCTAAAAGCACTATTAGGACACATATATTTCACTAAAAATTGAAAATTGGTTGTTTTTGCGTTATTTCGAGCAAATTCGTACTTCTGCTTTGAAACAAATTTTTGAAGCTGCGTTACAGCCATGAGATCTTAGCGTGTTTTCCAGCGTGTAGACTGGACATCTGTACCTGGGAGTACCTTATAACGTCTCTGAGTGTGCTGCATTCATTCATGAGTAAGACTTGGTTCAAACCAATCAGCACGCTCTATTGTGTATGCGGTGCAACTTCATTAATATGCATGATAGCTTTGAAGACTGTTTTTACCTGTTACAGTGTTCAGACGGCAGAGAGACGCCACGTTGTGTTGCCAAAGCAAGCGGGAGAACATGAATTGTTTGTAGATACGGGTCGTCAGTGTTGCGTTTATAATTTGCTGCAGTGAAGGTTTTGTTTTCATTTTCCCTCGATGAGAGCGCAGCTGGACTCAGGTGTGGAATACAGTGCATGCGTCGCTCTACAGAAATCCGTGTCTAAAGAACATTTTTTACCCAAGAGCTTTTCTCATCTGGAAATGGGGAAATCCGGATTTGCCGCTCGTCTCCTTTTAATAAAGACGCAGCTCCAGTTGGGGTTGATTGTCCTGTCTCTACAGATTTGGTAAGTGAACAATCAGTGGTCTTTGTTTATTCAGAGGCAAAGTTAGTTCGTATCGTCAGCAGTACTCTTTCAGTGTTTAAAGACAGACCTTAGTCAAATGATTTTTAATCAAAGTTAAGTTTAATCGAAGTTAATAAAGTTTACCGTATGTTAACATCACTACAATATTATGGACTGAAAAATCTGCTGTAAACGCTTTGTGAACTCAACATAACAGTCCTGTCTGTGCCTCAACAAGTCATAACATAATGATATCCTAGCAAATCATTAGCTAATGATTAATTTAAATAGACAACTGGCAGTTGAAAGGCATGGCTTTAACCTGTTGTGGTAATTAACATGAATGTACACTATTAGTTTATATGATATGTTATTAGGGGATTAATACATTAAAACGCAATTAACTATAAACCAGTGGTTCTCAAATTTTTTTCATCAAGTACCACCTCAGAAAAAAAAATTCTCTCCAAGTACAACCAAAAAGAGCAGTATTCAAATACAGTAGCGTAGTAGGCCCAGTAAAGTAACTACACATCTGCACAGTAAAAAAAACGTGGCAGATTACCTTAGGAATATATATGTCATATATGGCACATTATATACATAATTTTGATACATTTTAAAAATATATGTAGCATGTACATGACATATTTAATTCCTCCGCGTACCACTAGAAGGAAGCCTGCGTACCACTCATGGTACACGTACCACAGTTTGAGAACCACTGCTATAAACCATTCATAGATTTCTTAATATATGAATCATATAGAATGTTCATTTGTTGCTCAAGCAGTAACCATAAATACATGGTTTAATCTTATAATCAAATGAGTTATTGTATATATTAACTTACGATTATCTGTACATTAGATAAGCATTATGTAATGCATACAAGTGCACCCATATAGTTGTAAGTGTGGACGAACAAGAAAACCACATATGACACAAAATTAAAAAAGAAAAGTTGACACTGTAGAATGAGGGTGACTGGGAGTAGTATATTATCATACCTAAGGCCATCTGTTTCTTTGGAAAGCCTCCTCCGCTCTACCACCAGCCCTACAGTATTTGCCTGTCTCTGAGGAGAATGGGGAATTCGTGCTGGAAGCAGGAACATCTGAAAATGGAAGAAAAAACATTGATTTAGCATTGGCTAAAAATGATTTGGGGCAATATAATAAAAAAAATAGCTCAAACAGCAGAGCTATTTCAGCAGTCACACACAGACTTATTTAAATGATTCTTACCTCACCTTCTCGAATATGCACATCTTTATGTTTGCCATTCTCTATCACTTTCAAAACCATGTCACCCCTCACCTGGTAAAAAAGCTGAAACGAAGTTTGTGAAAGTGATATTATTAACAATCACTATAAATGTAATGAAAGATTGTATATCCCTCTGAAAGAAATACTCTGCAATCCGAGCTGCAATACTGCAACAACGTTTAAGCCCAATCCCAAGTCTATCCCTTCCCCTTACCCCTCATTTTGCGCGTTCCAGTGAAGGGGGAGGGGTGTCTCAATTCTCTTTAGCCTGAAGGCGTAGTGCTAAGGGGAAGGGTAAATACAAAAATAGAATTGGGATTGGGCCTTACTGTGTATCCGAAAAGTATTCATAGCGCTTCACTTTTTCCACATTTTTTAATGTTACAACCTCAATCAAAATTGGATTGAATTCATTTATTCATTTAACACAAGCACAAGGCTGGGGAAGGTTACAGAAAAATTTCTGCTGCTCTGAAAGTTCCAATGAGCACAGCGGCCTCCGTCATCCGTTAGTGGAAGATGTTTGGAACCACCAGGACTCTTCCTAGAGCTGGCCGGTCATCTAAGCTGAGTGATCGGGGGAGAAGGGCCTTAGTCAGGGAGGTGATCAATAACCTGATGGTCACTCTGTCTGAGCTCCAGCGTTCTGCTGTGGAGAGAGGAGAAACTTACAGAAGGACAACCATCTGTGCAGCAATCCACCAATCAGGCCTGTATGGTAGAGTGGCCAGATGGAAGCCCTTCCCTGCCTGGAATTTGCCAAAAGGCATCTGAAGGACTCTCAGACCATAAGAAACAAAATTCTGTGGTCTGATGAAACCAGGTGTTGCCAGGTGTTACGTTTGGAGAAAACCAGGCAAATACCATCCCTATAGTGAAGCATGGTGGTGGCAGCATCATGCTGTGGGGATGTTTTTCAGCAGCAGGAACTGGAAGACTAGTCAGGATAGAGGGAAAGATGAATGCAGCAATGTACAGAGACATCCTGAATAAAAACCTGCTTCAGAGTGCTCTTGACCTCAGACTGGGGCGACGGTTCATCTTCCAGCAGGACAATGACCCAAAGCACACCGCCAAAATATCAATGGAGTGCCTTCACAACAACTCAGTGAATGTGCTTGAGTGGCCCAGCCAGAGCCCAGATCTAAATCTTATTAAACATTCCTGGAGAGATCTGAAAATGGCTGTACACCGTCGCCTCCCATTCAACCTGATAGAGCTTGAGAGGTACTGCAAAGAGGAATGGGCAAAAATTCCCAAAGACAGGTGTGCCAAGCTTGTGGCATCACATTCAAAAAGACTTGAGGCTGTAATTGCTGCCAAAGGTGCATCAACAAAGTATTGAGCAAAGGCTGTGAATACTTATGTGCATGTGATTTTTCAGGATTTTTATTTTTGATAAATTTGCAACAATTTAAAAAAAATCACATTGTCATTATGGGGTATTGTGTGTGGAATTTTGATAAAATAAATTAACTTAATCAATTTTGGAATAAGGCTGTAACATAAAAAATGTGGAAAAAGTGAAGCGCTATGAATACTTTACAGATGCACTAGTACAGTATCTAAACAAACGAAGACATAACGTAAACATGCAAAGAGATACTTGTAGTTCAGTGTAGATGCTCAGCACCATTGTTAAAGACAAAGAATAGGAGATAACACAATTGTAAATAATGTTCAGTTTACATTACATTTCATGTAAAAGTTTCTCTGATCATTTGAAGCTGATTATTTGATCACATTGTTGTGTTGGAAGGAGCAAGCACACAACACGTGTAATAAAGTATTAATCTAAGATAGTCAAACAAAGAATTAAGGAACTATAAAGAACAAACAACTATAACTGGTTATAGTGAAGCAGCGGAGATTGAATACAGGGATTAGTTAAAAGCAATCGATGATGATAATGTGACACAGAATGACAGTGGGACACAGAAGAAAGGAAATTAGATTAAACTCAACCCTCATGCATTCCTGTGGAAATTTGTGTCCTTGTTCTTCGTTTTTGATAAATTTGCCGGTGTTTATGCTAACTGACTGCTTAAGGTGTGTATTTAAACAAATAGGGTCAAAGAAGGTTACTGAGCTTTGATTATTATCTTTTTTCCATTTAAATACATATCTCACTCTTTTTTAGAATAGTTTTTTTTTTGTTTGTTTTTTTACAGACATTAAATGGAACTTGATTTTGATGTAGTAGTAGTTCAGAAGTTTAGTTTTTATGTTAAAGAAAGTGAAGATTGGATTCGTCTGGTAGATTTTAGACAAAGTCTGAGTTAACAGTGGTGTACCCACGGCCAAACCTATGGATATATGGTGCTGGAGTCGTTTTATAGCTTGCAAGGCAGCTCATAACCGAGCTGTAGAAGAAATAAAACTCTGTCTGACGTGTATAGTACTGTCCTGCAAAAACCTGATTGGTATTGTTTTTGTTTTAAGGAATATATTTTAGGAAATTAGCAAATCAATCACTGACAAAAATCTTTAGTTAGCATAACATCACACATAGCATTATAGTAATCTGTCTGTGTTCATGCTAATATTGGGCTGGTTTATTGCGTATTTGCAGATCTATTATAATTCAAAATAATAAAAAAATGTATGCAAATAAAAACAAAAATATGGTGTGCTATGATCAAAATTTATAAATATTGTAAATGGCAATATTGTTTGAGGAATACTAAAATATATTCAATAAAAATAGGATCTTTGAGGCAGTGTTTCATTGCATCATCACACAGACTTTGTCCCTGGTGTTTCTGTAAACTATTGCAGTCCATGGACTATGCACTGAAGTTTGTGGTGGAAAATGTAATAATTAACAAGCTTTAGTGCATTTAAAAAAATATGCCAAGATTCACACTGTCAGTATTAAATCCACATTAGTTTTGTTAAAGAATTTTAAATGAAGTCATTAAGCCATGTTAACCAATTCAACTCAATTAGTACATGAACAGCACCTTACCTCTTCTCCTTCCTCAATGTGATAATCTTTCCTCACATTTGGACCACCAACATACATAATATTCAACTGATAAAAAAACCTAAGACAAATGCGATAATATATAAATAAAAATTAAATACAAAACATTATATTTATGATTATTGATTACTTACATTAATTTGTTGCATACAGGCGGTAGGAATGAAGTCTCATTCTCAGCAATCCATTTGTCAATATTGACATGCAGAGACTGGTTGGTCATTTTTATCACAATCTTCTGAACACAGCTTCGCGTGGAATATTCTGTCTGAGTAAGCAACAAATTTCTGAGCAATGGTGTATTTCTTCAGGCAGTTTTGACAAACCACCTTTGAGTTACTGAATAATGGGGCGGTGCTGTTACATACAGTATGTGACAGTGAGGTTGAACTCCATGTTTACGCAGCTGAACAGTTATGCTAGTAGCCTAACAGTACAGACAGCACAGAATAATTCACAAAAAATGCATAAATTTATTATTGTAATTTTTTTTTTTCAAAATTCCCAAACACTTTTGTCATTCATACTCTAAAAGTGAAAAAAATTCAAAGGATTCAACACATTTTTCACATTAGGGATAGGCGGTATGACCAAAATGTGTTTTATGGTATGAGAAAGTTTATTTCAAGGTAACAATATCTTTGAATATCTAATTTTTTCACAAAGGTAGTTATTCTAGAAAATCTAATTTTCAAATCCAAAAAATGCAAAAAGGCTTCATATACTAAATAAATTGGACTATTTAAGAAAAGGAGTTGACCTTATTTGATTAGTTTGTATTTTATTTTTACCTTATAAGTATAGTAAACAAAATATTACTTTAGATGAACAACAAAATCCACTGTATATCACAGTTTTATGTGGACAGACATTATTATAAACATTTCTCAAGTAAAATATTCTCCACAGTGTGCCTCATCAAGGCTTTGAGCGGTTGTGATGGTTCATTCCCCAGGATTTTGCTCGATGACACCGGAGATCAGATGCCCACCACGACATTAGAGGGCGAGCTGTCATGTTCTTCTATACAGCTTAAAGTGACATTTAAAGGCTTAACTAGGTTAATTTTGTTAACTTTGTTAGCTTAAAGGGGCTAATGATTTTGATCTTAAAATATTAAAAAAAAAAATTAAAAACTGCTTTTATTCTAGCCGAAATAAAACAAATAAGAGTTTCTACAGAAGAAAAAATATTATTAGACATACTGTGAAAATTTCCTTGCTCTGTTAAACATCATTTGGGAAATATTTTAAAAAGAAAATAAATTTCAATGGGGGGCTAATAATTCTGATTGCAACTGTATATGAATATTAAAATCACCAACAATTAAAACTTTGTTTGTGTCCAAAAAAATTTGGATAAGAAAATAAAATTAAAGTTGGTGTAGTGTCCAGGAGGCCTATATCCAGTTGCTAAAACAGATTTAAATGTATTATTTTTCTTATATTGTACACTGAAATATACAACACCATTACTTCAAAGGAATTGTTTTTTAAGCCAAATCGTTCTGTAAATTTATCACAAATATCATCATCAATATTTTGGTATTGATATTATTGAGGATATTGTTGTTCTCATACAGAACAACAATAATGTAGTGACAATTTATTTGGTTTGACTTGAATATTAAAATTAACAGTATTAATATTAATATTGACTTTTTGGTCACTCTTCTCTTAAGGTGTGTAAATAGCAAATTAGTAACTAATTTTAAAGCATCAGCTGTCGCAATAATTAACAATCAAGTAGGTTAATTAACAATCTAGCAATGCCCCTGCACTGAACTGATTCTAGATTTTTTTAGTACTGGTACTTTTTTTTTAAGTGACAGCTGTAGTTCTGAGTGTTCAACAATAGGAGGCAGTCTGTGGGCAGTGTGCTGCTTCTGACACACTGAGAGTGTAAGGAGCTGTGCCTTTTGTACAAATATTGCATTGGAATTTAAAGAAAAATATATTTTAATTTTTTGAGAATACAGTTGACTTTAAAATTTGGCATATTGTTAATTTGCTCAACATATATGGAAAATGTTTTATTCATAAATGTAAATGGGCTGTGAAAAAAAATTTACTCACTTTAAAATAGAAATAAGTCATTACCTATGCACGATAAAAGAAACAAGAAATATCAAAGCAAAAAGAACTGTTAATTATTTTAAAGCCTTAAATTTGTTTTTTAAATTGATTTTTTTATTTTTATTTTTTTTATTTTTATATTGTTCTTGATTGGATGTTAATATAATGTTGTTATTGCCCTTGTATGTTCTGTGTTTGAAAATTACAAAAAAAACAAAAACAAAAAAAAACAAAAAAAACAAGAGCTGTGCCTTTTACAGCTATTGAGCTGTGCTGGTCCTTTCCGTAGGGACAAAACAATGCAGTGAGTGACCCCCCCACAGCTTATAGACAGAAATGATTCGCGAAGTGAAATATAGAATCATTTTGCCCATGAAGCAATTTGCAGTTAGCCAAAAGTAAAAACCGCAACTGATTGTGCTGTCCAAGAAATCTGATTTACAGCAAAGCAAAACACATTTAAATTATATAAAATATGTTAAAAGCTTATGCATATTAATGCAAAATGCATACTTTTCAAAATATTGCGAAAACGTATATGGGTGAATGACATAAAGCTGATTGTTTAAAAACTTTATTATGGCCAAACTTTATACTTTATATTAAGCTGTGTAGTACTGACCCTTAAATTTCCCAAACTATATGGTCTTTTAGATTTTGCATTGAAAATGGGATTTATTTTTAAAAAAATTTATTTTACTTTACCTCACCTAGAAATGGAGGCCAAGTGAATGGTTTGTGAGTACAATAAAGTGCACACAGCATGCTGAATCATCTGATAATTGCAAGATTGAACATAATTCCAAAAAGCAATTGACTGTGTAAAGCCACAAAAAACAAAACAAAAATATGATGTGTATGCCGAGTTCAGCGGCTAATCAGCCGGAATCAGCTGAGGTGAAGTGAGTGGCCACGCCCTTAATTATGCAGACTAAATATAACCTAATATAAAGGAAACATAAGGTATTAAAAAAGTTGTCATGAATGGTAAGATTAGCTATGTACACCGAAATCGTTCTTTGTACCAGGCTGAAAACACTTTTCTGTATTTGCTTCATGAGGGAGAGCGTGAGGTTGCCGCTTGGTCATAAACAGATAACAACATCTCCAGGTTCTTTGAAAACGAGAGCAAAAAAGTGCTGTGCATGTTAAAACAGCTTGACTAGAGTGCTGACAAAATTAGTTTTTATTTTCATATTTGTTTTACTTTTTTTAAAAGGCTCTGCTGGTTGAATGGTTTCAACTGATAGCAAACATTAAAATTATTATTAATAAGTAATATTTTGAAAGACAAAAGGAAACATGCTGTAGCATTGACTTAGTGTGTATTTATCATGTCCATTTGGCAGTGGAGACAAGTCTGATAAAGTTGACCCCTAACCATACTGTGAACACTCGGAGAGGAATTTAATTCAACGCTAAGCACTAGTGTTGTGTGATAAAGTGAAAGTGGTAGTTTCTGAATTAGCTTGTTTTGATTGAGTTAACATTTCCCATTGTATTAAATTGCACAGTAGATAAGAATATTAAAATATTGAAACTTACCTGAAATTTATCAGAATGAATGTGAAGTGGTAGCACTCGGAAAAGTAACAAAATATCTGAGGGGCAAAAAACAAATGTTTGTTACACAAGAGAGCACAAACATAACAAAAGGAAACCAATAGCAACTGGAGCAGAACTGAAGCTGAGTATTTTAAAGGAAAGTGCGCGATCAATTGGTTTTAGATATTCAGACCTCAAAGCTCAAAATATTAAAACCATATGACATTTCCTCGATTTATTGCAAACAATAGTGTAGCCTACAAGTTTTAATACATTACTTAGTTTATCTCAAGACAGTCCGCTAATCAACGGTTATGGTTGTCGAATGATATTGTGTGTGATCAACAATACAAAAGATGAATAACTTTAAACCTGGTTATGCGACGGACATCGTTTATGTTCACATTAGGGAACTCCTTTAACGCTCGCACAGACCTGAAGTAACCTTTACGGAAGCAACACAACACTCACGTGACGTCAACTGTTTTGTGCACTTGAATCCATGGTCATAATGTTTTTATAGTGAGCACGTTTTACATTTATAACTATGCTTCGGGTAAAGTAAGAGTAAAACAGGTGCAATTGTTGGTCATTATTATCATATATTCCTATGTATGGTATATAGTATAAACATTAAAAAGGAGAGCGCTCCTGGACGCTCCAGTGGCGCAATCGGTTAGCGCGCGGTACTTATATTACAGTACGTTGCAGAGCCATGCCGAGGTTGTGAGTTCGAGCCTCACCTGGAGCAGTATTTTTAATTTGCGAATTGCAACTTGTAACTGCAACAACTATCATTACACTTGTAATTAAATACTTTCAAAATGAATACATCATAATGAAATACAATACCTGCGTGTTATGGAGAGTTTAACAATGCTTGGGTCAAGGGTCGGGAACCTTTTTTTCAGCAAAGAGCCATTTCTGATTTTTTTTGGCAAATGCTTTTTTTTTTTTTTAAATAGCCATTGGGGGTGTGTGTGTGTGTGTGTGTGTGTGTGTGTGTGTGTGTATATATGTATATATATATATATATATATATATATATATATATATATATATATATATATATATATATATATATATCAAAACAAATCAGTTATTAGAGATGAATAATTAAAACTATTATGTTTAGAAATGTGTTGAAAAATACACACACGCGCACGCACGCACACACAAACACACATTATAAGTCCATAGATGATGTCATTCACATTAAAGATCCTGAGATGTTGAATCTTTGGGTAATGCCAGTCATAAACATCTGATTATAATGCATCCACATACACACAGTGAAAAAACAAATGATCAGTTGTTTCAATATCATCAGGAAACATACATCTATTAGACTCAAACCCAAACCTAAGTCTTGAATATTCACTAGATGGCTATATCCCACTCAATATTTGAAAATAAAGTTTTAAAAGAATCTAGTGTTTGGAGGAAATTTCAAATATTTAGCTCCAAGTGTGTGGATAGTATCCTTAGAGAATCTAGGTGAAATTAGGCTTTCTATAAACCATTAGAAAATATGCAATGTCCTCCTTCTGTTAAAAAAGATCCTACTTTATTCCACTGTCACACCAAAAATTATGGATATTAAATTAGGCAAATCAAATTTTGTGGACAAAAAAAAAGTACAAATATGTTTATTAGAAATGTTTTATACAGGAATGCTATCCTGGTTGCATTAAATATAATTCCATCAAAAGAAAATACATTTTCCAACATTTAAAAAAGATTTTAATTAAGAAAATTAGATTCAAATATCTGACATTTCTTTCTCCAAAAAACAAAGTACATTTTAAAATGACATATGATATTTACCCTGCAAAGGATTTTGTGAGAAAAAGATTTAATGTGAATTATAATGTTTGCCAATTCTGCAATAGTGATACTGAAGCAGTTGAACATCTATTTCTTCATTGTAACTTGGTTAATCATTTCTGGTCTGATGTGGACAACCGGATAAAACTATATATTTCAATGTTTCCTTCAGTTTGTTGGGAAATTGTGAAATTTGGAGTACATTTGTTCAGCAAACAGGATGACTTAAAATGCAAAATGTTTACTTATATTCTTCATTTATAAATGCAAAAAAAAAAAAAAAAAACTACTGATATTTTATGGTTGCTGGCAAATGGACTAAAAAAAGTTGCACTATCACCACCTACCAGATCGAAACGTAAAGCACTAATAAGCATTTTAGGGAAAAATAAAGGCATTGGAGACACAGTGAGAGGGGGATGATTTTTTAAATACCAAGCCACCTTTGATCAATTTTATCATTTCTTTGGATATCCTTAATTGTGCTATATTTTCACAAAAAAAAAAAACTTTTTTGTTAAGCTCTATTCTTTCTATACCATGCCCCCTGCAACATATTAATACATGTGCTATTGTTTCTGTTCGAGCACAGTGAATACATTAACTGCTTCATATTTCCCATTTTCAAACAATAATGGGTTTAACCCATAATGTCCTATATGCATTTAAGCAGGGATGTGCAAAAATACATTGAAATGTTTTCTAAAAGAAATACCAAATACCACAGTTTTACATGTAAGATGAAGCAGCCCTAAGTTTAAAACAAAATACAGTATTTTGTATTTTGAAAATGCTACAATTGATGGTGTTTACATGAGTTGCTTTTTAAATGTTTCTTTGATCCCGTTTTACGTTATAGTAAATAATTCGTTTACATCATTGTGTCACCGCACTATCCACGTTACTTCCTATGGCAAGCCATTTAGACTTTTATTCATTCTCAGGATATGTATTCTTATGTATTATTGATATAAAAAATGTAATTGTTGATATCAAGAATTACATTTTTTGATAAGCAATTACATTCATGATGTCAACATTTACCTTTCTGATATCAATAGTTGAATTTCCACTAGTTAAATGTCACCACAGGCTGCCATTCAAAGTAAATTGTTGATATCCAGAATTGATTTCTTCCAGTTGAAATGCAATTCTTAAAGTCAATAATTTAATTTTTGATATAAAAATTTGTTTTTGATTTCAGGAATTAAATTGTTGATATCAAAAATTGCATTTTAACTAGTAAAGATGTTCATTATTGATATCAACAATTGGTTTGTCACTAGTGACAATATTAATTTCTGATATAATAAACGTAATTGTTACTAGTGTACTTATTTAATTTAGATATATAGATGCAATTAATAGATAGATGTAATTAATTATTTTAGATATCATAAATTACTTCCTTAATTGTGGACATCAGAAATACATTTTTAGAGGTCCGAAATAACAAATGTAACATGCTGAAATATAATTGCAGATATCAAGAATTAACATTTCAACTAGTGAAATTAAGTTCTTGATATCAGAACTTGAAATTTTTACTACTAACAATATAATACTTGATATCAACAGTTCAGTTTCTGATATCAGGAATGCAGATTGTTGATATCATTATAAGGTTTAAATGAGGCGAACAATCGATATTCAACAATCAACATTGATGAGGGAACTGCTACAAAATGTACAGTTTTTTATGATAGACTGAACAGGCTTGCTCACTCACTCTTTTTCCATTGGTTTATTCCCTGTTATCATTCTAAAACATTACATTGTGGCCTACTGTATGTGCAGTTGGACTTACTTACTTATTGCTAATTGAAAGGTTGCAGGTTTGATTCCTGTTCCAGGCAGATATTGAAAGAGAGTCCCCACTTTCTCCATCTTCGATACTGAGGTGCCCCTGAGCAAGATACCCAAACAATAGCTGCCCACTGCTTCCGGTGTATGTAGTTTGTGTGTGCACTTCAAAAGCAGAGGACCAATTTCGAGTATGAGTAACCATACTTGACAATACTCACATCACTTAATTGATAGCAGCCTAGCTGTCTATTTGCTAAGCAGACAGGTTTGATTGACTGTCTGATTGCATGCATATCAAGGAGGAACAAACAAACAAACACTTTTTTGCATTAAAAACAGTTAAGCTGTACAATATAGATACCACAATATGTGAAGTTATTTCATTGCTAAGGAAAGTAACATTTCCATTCCACAAGCTTCACAGAAGGACAGAAGCTATCCAAGTCAAACTAATGCAATATGTTTTATTTTAGTAAAAACATAAAAAAAGCTTGTAGTCATGCCTGCATGCAGTTTTGCTCTTAAATTGGAAAATCAGTGTAAAATTAAAATAAATTCATAATTCACTAAAAGTTTAACCTGTATCTTACACAGTCATTTAGGATGTTGTAAGAAGTTTCTGCGCCAGTGAAGATCTCTCTTTCAGCAACGTTATTTTGGTGTATTTGAGGGTGGCTGAAAACTGGGGCAGTGCAGGGAGGGTTTCCACTGAACGCAGAGCCACCAGAGTATTATGGTTTGCTATAGCTGATAGTCTGTCCAGTTCTGTGGTGCTTATACCAGGTGATGTCACTCTTAAGAGGGTGGAGAGGTGTCTGTGCAACATCTGTGCCCATAACAAAGGCTCAGCCCACAGGTTAAGATCGCCCTTCTCAAAGAGAAACTCTTCATCCTGGATTAAGGAATGAATGTGGAAACAAAACAAAAAAGATTTAGTATACAGTTGAAATCAGAATTATAAGCCCCCCCTTTGAATTTTTTTTCTTTAAATATGTCTCAAATGATGTGCTGTGTAAATGCAGACGATCGGATACGAGTCACTTTAAAAAAGATTACGTAAGCAGGTCATCAAAAGAATTGGATACAGTCACAAAATCGGAATTGACCATCAAGATCTGCAGCCCAACAGAGCAAGGAGATTTTCAGAGTTTGTTTAATAATATTTTTACTTTTAGAGAAAGTCTTATTTGTTTTACATTGGCTGGAATAAAAGCAGTTTTTAATTTTTAAACCATTTTAAAGTAAAAATGAATAGCCCCTTTCTACACACAATACCTCCTAAAGACAATGAGAAAAAAGATTTTTTGAATTGTTGAAAATGTATTAAAAATAAAAAAACCTGAAAAATCACATGTACAGAAGTGTTCACAGCCTGAATGTAGTTGTTTGGATTGGATAGTGCTAATCTGAATTTATTTATAAGGATAGTGTCTATTTAAGTATTTATAATTTCTGAGAGACAGAGCGTTGACGGCCATTAGCAAAGACAGTTGACGTTGTTCATCCACAAGATGATGACAGAGACGCATAATGAGCCCTAAGAGAAAACCAGCATTATTTCAAACTACAGCTGATCAAATCACTATTAAACAGGTAAATGACTTTCTAAGTCGATCTCTCTCTTCTGTATGTTGTAGTGCTGTATTTACCATAGTAATATTTTATGGCCATATCACATTTTTATGGCCATTTCCACTGTCAAAGGGTACCTAAAAGCGAACCGTACCATACTACGTTTTGGTCACCCTTTGGAAAGGGTATCTAGCACAAAAAACAGGGGACCAAAAGGTGGAGCTAGACTTGCAGCTAAAACGCTATTGGTTTACAG